TCCTGGAAATGTTCCATACGCACAAAAAGCTTAGTTCTCTCAAATTTGGTGCCCAAATTTCTTTACATCCCTCTTAGTGAACATTTCTCCTTTGCCAAGATAATCAGCCACCTGACAGGTGTGGCATTTCAAGAAGCTGATTAAACAGCATGATCATTATACAGGTGCACCTTGTGCTGGGGACAATAAAAGGCCACGCTAAAATGTGTAGTTTTGGCACACAACACAATGCCACAGATGTCTCAAGTTTTGAGGGAGCGTGCAATTGGCATGCTGACTGCAGGAATGTACACCAGAGCTGTTGGCAGATAATTTAATGGCAATTTCTCTCCCATAAACCGCCTCAAATGTCGTTTTAGAGAATTTGGCAGTACGTCCAACCGGCCTCACAACCGCAGACCACATGTAACCACGCCAGCCCAGGACCTCCACTCCGGCATCTTGACCTGCGGGATTGTCTGAGACCAGCCACCTGGACAGCTGATGAAACTGTGGCTTTTGCACAACCACATTATTTCTGCACAAACTGTCAGAATCCGTCTCAGGGAAGCTCATCTGCATGCTCGTCGTCCTCACCAGGGTCTTGACCTGACTGCAGTTCAGCCTCGTAACTGACTTCAGTGGGCAAATGCTCACCTTCGATGGCCACTGGCACGCTGGAGAAGTGTGCTCTTCATGGATGAATCCCGCTTTCAACTGTACTGGGCAGATGGTAGGCGTAGTGTGGGCGAGCGGGTTTGCTGATGTCAACGTTGTGAACAGAGTACCCCATGGTGGCAGTGGGGTTATGGTATGGGCAGGCATAAGCTACGGATAATGAACACAATTGCATTTTATCGATGGCAATTTAAATGCACAGAGATAACGTGACAAGATCAGGAGGCCCATTGTAGTGCCATTCTTCTGCCACCATCACCTGATGTTTCAGCATGACAATACACAGCCCCATGTCTCAAGGATCTGTACACAATTCCTGGAAGCAGAAAATGTCCCAGTTCTTCCATGGCCTGCATACTCCCCAGACATGTCACACATTGAGCATGTTTGGGATGCTCTGGTTTGACGTGTACGACAGTGTGCTCCAGTTCCCGCCAATATCCAGCAACTTCGCACAGCCATCGAAGAGGAGTGGGACAACATTCCACAGGCCACAATCAACAGCCTGATCAACTGTGTCGCGCTGCATGAGGCAACTGGTGGTCACACCAGGTACTGACTGGTTCTGATCCACGCCCCTACCTTTTTTTTTTAAGGGATCTGTGACAAACAGATGCATATCTGTATTCCTAGTCATGTGAAATCCATAGATTAGGGCTTAATTAGTTTATTTCAATTGACTGATTTCCTTATATATGAACTGTAACTGAGTAAAATAATTGAAATTGTTGCATGTTGCATTTATATTTTGGTTCAGTGAAAAGTCAATGGCCAACCACCTCTCTAGCTGCCCCTTATTCCACATTATGCCTTCTATGCCCCATGGTTCCTCAACTTCAGACACTTTGGAACTCTACATGTTATCTCTATAAACTCACCCTACCTTCACCCATTTTCCCTATGCTGCTTCCTTCACTTGTTCTTCTCCTGATTTGATAGCATATACATCCGGGCTCTTCAACCCTGTTCCTGGAGCGCTACCCTCCTGTAGGTTTTTGCTCCATCCCCAGATTTAACTAACCTGATTCAGCTTATCAACCAGCGAATTATTAGAATCACGTGCGCTAGATCAGGGTTGGAGCGAAAACCTACAGGACGGTAGCTCTCCAAGAACAGGGTTGGAGAGCCCTGGGCAAACTCCATTACACACTTAAAAGTATTGTGATGTACTGTTTTTTCTACAATTTCTTCACCTGTGTAATGTTGTCCCCCTGCTTATTCTGGGGTTCAGACTAAATGCAGTGGTAAATGTGTGGCTTATAATTGACAGCAGCTACATGGACCTGTTAAATTGACAAGAAGGCTGTTGGTATAGCTGCGTCTAGGCATGGCTTCCTTGTTTTAAGTCTGTTAAGTGTGTATTTCTGTTTCTCATTCTGCTGGAGTTGACCTAGTATTTGATATTAAACCTACCTTACGCATCCACTTTCTCAATTTGTAACTCACCCACCAAAAATAACAATATGCTCTTTTACATTGTGTTATTTGTGCTGGTCTAATTTCTAAAATGCAAAAGCAGAAGAATCTGTGCGCTCTCGGATTGCAATTATAGTTGATATAGTGTTCTTCAATGTCCCAGGTTTGTGGCATTGATGAATAAATAATTTAATCTTTACTTCAAGTCAGATGTTTGTATGTTATGTATAAAAGGCATATGTATGCATTATTTAATATTTTGATTTCTTTAAAACAATGCAATTGTTGGAGTTCATGTGTTTGACGTGATTGATGGGTGACTAGGTGCATTCTTGTCAAATAAATATGCTTATTCATTCATGATTATGGATACATTCTGCAATGAGTTTCTGGCTTTGAATCAGCAACAGAGCATGCCAACAAGTTACTTCTGAAATGCTTCAATACAGCAGTGCATTCTGACCATGAATTGATGTAGATTTCACCTCGTTCATATAGTTGTAAGGGATTCAATATTAGACCTCCACCCGCTGAAGGAGAAGAGGATCTGTTAAAATAAGGGTTTGTTGCTAATATCATCTTGGTTGTTTGTATTTGTATTTGTAGTTATTAAGGATCCCCATACTCTTAATGGGGTCCTGCAACATTAAGGCAGTTATATACAATTAAAAATATTACATGACATTATATTTCATAACACTTTACCCAATACATTTAGTGTGTTCCCTCAGGCCACTACTCCACTATCACATATTTACAATACAACATCCATGTGTACGTGTGTGTAGAGTGAGTGTCTATATGTATGTGTGTATGTACCTGTGTGTGTGTCTCTTCACAGTCCCCGCTGTTCCACAAGGTGTATTTTTACCTATTTTTTAAAATCTGATTCTACTGCTTGCATCAGTTACCTGATGTGGAATAGAGTTCCACGTAGTCATGGCTCTATGTAGTACTGTGCGCCTCCCATATTCCGTTCTGGACTTGGGGACTGTGAAGAGACCTCTGGTGGCATGTATTGTGGGGCATGCATGGGCGTCCGAGCTGTGTGCCAGTATTCCAAACAGACAGCTCGGTACATTCAGCTCATCGACACCTCTCACAAAAACAAGCAGTGATGAAGTCAGGAGAGACTGACATGCATGTCATCAATGTTAGCTCTCCATGTGCTTTTAAGGGCCAGCCGTGCTGCCCTGTTCTGAGCCAACTGCAATTTTCCCAAGTCCCTCTTTGTGGCACCTGACCACACTACTGAACATTAGTCTAGGTGTGACAAAACTAGGGCCTGTTGTTAGCTAGTTACCAAGCTTTTTTTCAGAAAACTAGCCTATTCATTGCACATTGTAAATATCTGACTGCTACTAGGAAAGTATTCTGTACAAGACAAGACCAAATGCATAAATAAGTCAACAAATATTAGTTAAATAAAATATGGAACAGTTAATGAAAATGTTCAATTTCGTTTTGAATCAAGGTAGCTACTAGCTAGCTTACTGACAGCAAGGCATCGACTAGAGATGACACGCAGGAGCTTGCAGGGATTTGAAGTCTTGCATGGTCTAATTTGATGTTAATTAGCATTTTCGAATATGACAGTAAATAAAGCCGAATATATTGATAAATGTCACCTTGTCCAAGAGAGATTTACACGGTTATCAAAACATCATGCCAGGGTAAGCCTACACGAAACAAGCCTTTGAAGTGTTTGAAAAATCCCCTATGGAAAAAATGATTGGAACCATTTCCGTGTTTGACCACTAGGTTTTATTGGTATTACGATGACATCCTTGTGGCACTCTATAGCAACTTGATCCTTGTCTTTTAAAAACAGAGTTTTATTTTCCAAATTTAGAAATACCTTTTAAATCAGGGTTGTTTAAAATGCTAATATAGTAATTCTACAACAAAAGGAATAAGAACACAGAAACAGCGGAACCCTAGCGTACGATGAATATTAAATATTTTAGGTGTGTTACGATTAATCAAATGGAACTAATAATATGTCTAGCTTATGCTAAAGCTATCGATGTATAATCTGTATTTAATCATGTAATAGGACTCCAATTATCTACATATAGGGTATCTTTATCACGTCTTGTGGGGGGGAAACGAACTAAATTGACTGTACTTTAAAATGACTAACGGGGTGGCAAGTAGCCTAAAGCGGTTAAGAGTAACTGAAAGGTCGATGGTTCGAATCCCAGATCAGACTAGGTGAAACATCTGTCTGTGCCCTTGAGCAAGGCACTTAGGTCGCTCTGGATAAGAGAGTTTGCTAAATGACTAAAACGTCAAAGCAAATCAAAACTGTGTAGAAATGATAATGGACCTACACTTATACAGTTTCTTGACTGTATACAGCTCTCTATTAATCATCGAAATGAAAGATAAACAGACAGGGAGTATCGAAAATGGCAAAAACGATGGATAAAGTAATATCTTTTTCAAATGTTGAAAAATTAGTTTGACACCCCTGCTCTAAATGGTCAAAAAAACCTGGGCCCTTTAAAAAAAAAGACCTGGGCCCTTTAAACAGAACGACGTGACGTCATCGGGTCAAAGTTTACAGCTATGGCGTCAGGAAATGGATTTGCTTCTTTGGTGAGAATCCACACGATTAAATAACAGTATTTGAACTTAATGTACATGTCATATACGGGTATATTGTAGCTGCATATGTAAGTGAAGTGTTAAAGTATATGATGCATGTTTTATTTGGATTGAAGCCGGCCTGCTGTTTAAAATGTCGCTGGCTAAACGGTAAACGAGGACAACATTGATTGAGCTAAACATGTGCTTACCATTACTGTAGCAATAACAGTAATATTGAATTACTAATGCCAATGACAACATTTCGTCGTGTTATTTAGGGTGTGATATCAATTGTAATACTTACATTTTGTTAATGATTCTGTTATGTTATTCAGGGCGTGGAGGGAGTTACAGCAGCCGCACAGGCTCTGTCTCTACCAGCTGAGGCTTATGGGAACGATGTGAGTAACACACGGTCTGTTTAGATTTCGTCTCTGACAAGCTCACTACACAATAGTATTCTAGTGTGTGTTAGTTTAAAAGTTTACTCGCCACGTGCACAGGATACAACAGGTGTAAAACAGTACCTTGAGAACTCTTTCCCAACATTGCAGCTAACCTTTGTGTGTGTGTGTGTGTGTGTGTCAGCCTCAACTGGAGGTGATGTGGGCGATGAAGGCTTACAATCATGCAGAGATCTACTTTAATGTGAGTATCTCTTTCTCACAAGCACCTGCAAACTACTCACATGAAAAAAATACTAGTTTACTATAGTAAATACTATAGTATTTAATTTGCATATACCCTGCCCCATATCCCAATTTGTGCCACCCATAAGTGAGAAACCTACATGCCAAGTATAGACCATATTGTGTTCCATACAGGTTATAGAGAAGAACAGAAGCTCTGAACTATCCGTTCAGATCCCAGTCCTACCTACCTACTACAGGTTATGGAAAATGTGCTCTTAGTATTTCTCCAGTAGGTTTCCTCAAGGAGAAATCCTCCACTTCTATGTCAAAGATAAAACAAAAACACTACAGTAAATACTACAGCAGTGGATCAACAGGTTTTGCCTCAGGACCCAAATTGAACCAGGTTGTCTGTCGTGACCCAATATTCACATCATGAAAAACAATCGCCAAAATACAATCTGGAAAACTATTTTTCATGCTATATTGATAGTAAATGTAGCAATTATGACAAGGGAACAACATTCCCACCGCTTTGTCAATAAATACGTTCTTGAAGAATGTTAATAAACTCACTGGCTTGAGACGACAAAAATCAATACAAATAGTGCTGCTAATAGCTCTATATTGAAAATACTGTGATTTAATACTTTTTTAGATGAAATTATTTTTGAAAAAGTTCATTGTAATCTCTACAGTTTCTACCAGGTTTAAGTTCATATCGGAGTATTTTTTAAAAATAAAAATAAACATACTGTGAGGGGAAAAAGTATTTGATTCCCTGCTGATTTTGTACGTTTGCCCACTGAAAAGAAATGATCCGTCTATAATTTTAATGGTAGGTTTATTTGAACAGTGAGAGACAGAATAACAACAAAAAAATCAAGAAAAACGAATGTCAAAAATGTTAGAAATTGATTTGCATTTTAATGAGGGAAATAAGTATTTGACCCCCTCTCAATCAGAAAGATTTCTGGCTCCCAGGTGTCTTTTATACAGGTAACGAGCTGAGATTAGGAGCACACTCTTAAAGGGAGTGCTCCTAATCTCAGTTTGTTACCTGTATAAAAGACACCTGTCCACAGAAGCAATCAATCAATCAGATTCCAAACTCTCCACCATGGCCAAGACCAAAGAGCTCTCCAAGGATGTCAGGGACAAGATTGTAGACCTACACAAGGCTGGAATGGGCTACAAGACCATCGCCAAGCAGCTTGGTGAGAAGGTGACAACAGTTGGTGTGATTATTCGCAAATGGAAGAAACACAAAAGAACTATCAATCTCCCTCGGCCTGGGGCTCCATGCAAGATCTCACCACGTGGAGTTGCAATGATCATGAGAACGGTGAGGAATCAGCCCAGAACTACACGGGAGGATCTTGTCAATGATCTCAAGGCAGCTGGGACCATAGTCACCAAGAAAACAATTGGTAACACACTACGCCGTGAAGGACTGAAATCCTGCAGCGCCCGCAAGGTCCCCCTGCTCAAGAAAGCACATATACAGGGCCGTCTGAAGTTTGCCAATGAACATCTGAATGATTTAGAGGAGAACTGGGTGGAAGTGTGGGGGGGGGGGGGGGTATACAGAAGATAGCCCTATTTGGTGAAATACCAAGTCCATATTATGGCAAGAACAGCTAAAATAAGCAAAAAGAAACGACAGTCCATCATTACTTTAAAACGTGAAGGTCAGTCAATACAGAAAATTAAGAACTTAGAAGTTTCTTCAAGTGCAGTCGCAAAAACCATCAACCTCTATGATAAAACTGGCTCCCATGAGGACTGCGACAGGAATGGAAGACCCAGAGTTAACGCTGCTGCAGAGGATAAGTTGTTCATTAGAGTTACCAGCCTTAGAAATTGCAGATAAATGCTTCAGTTCAAGTAACAGACACATCAACTGTTCAGAGGGGACTGTGTGAATCAGGCCTTCATGGTTGAATTGCTGCAAAGAAACCACTACTAAAGGACACCAATAAGAAGAAGAAACCTGCTTGGGCCAAGAAACACGAGCAATGGACATTAGACCGGTGGAAATTTGTCCTTTGGTCTGGAGTCCAAATTGGAGATTTTGGGTTCCAACCGCCATGTCATTGTGAGACGCAATGTGGGTGAACAGATCTCTGCATGTGTATTTCCGTAAAGCATGGAGGAGCTGTTATGGTGTGGGGGTGCTTTGCTGTTTCACCAGCATGGCTACCACAGCATTCTACAGCGATACGCAGTCCCACTGAGCCCAAAACCAGATGGGATGATCATTTGTTTTTCAACAGGACAATGACCCAACACACCTCCAGGCTGTGCAAGGGCTATTTTACCAAGAAGGAGAGTGATTGAGTGCTGCATCAGATGACCTGGCCTCCGCAATCCCCCGACCTCAACCCAATTGAGATGGTTTGGGATGAGTCGGACCGCAGAGTGAAGGAAAAGCAGCCAACAAGTGCTCAGCATATGTGGGAACTGTTGGAAAAGCATTCCAGTTGAAGCTGGTTGAGAGAATGCAAAGAGTTTGCAAAGCTGTCAAAGGCAAAGGGTGGCTATTTGAAGATTATCAAATATAAAATATACTTCCTGCTGGAAGGTGAACCTCCGTCCCAGTCTAAATTTCTGGAAGACTGAAACAGGTTCCCCTCAAGAATTTCCCTGTATTTAGCGGCATCCATCATTCCTTCAATTCTGATCAGTTTCCCAATCCCTGCCGATGAAAAACATCCCCACAGCATGATGCTGACACCACCATGCTTCACTGTGGGGATGGTGTTCTCGGGGTGATGAGAGGTGTTGGGTTTGTGCCAGACACAGCATTTTCCTTGATGGCCAAAAAGCTAAATTTTAGTCTCATTTGACCAGAGTACCTTCTTCCATATGTTTGGGGAGTCTCCCACATGCCTTTTGGCGAACACCAAACGTGTTTGCTTATTTTTTTCTTTAAGCAATGGCTTTTTTTCTGGCCACTCTTTCGTAAAGCCCAGCTCTGTGGAGTGTACGGCTTAAAGTGGTCCTATGGACAGATACTCCGATCTCCGCTGTAGAGCTTTGCAGCTCCTTCAGGGTTATCTTTGGTCTCTTTGTTGCCTCTCTGATTAATGTCCTCCTTGCCTGGTCCGTGAGTTTTGGTGGGCAGCCCTCTTGGCGCCATTTTCTTTCAATTTTTTTATAATGGGTAGGATGTTCAAAGTTTCTGATATTTTTTTACAACCCAACCCTGATCTGTACTTCTCCACAACTTTGTCCCTGACCTGTTTGGAGAGCTGCTTAGTGGTGTTGCAGAATTTGGGGCCTTTCAGAATAGGTGTTTATATACACTGAGATCATGTGACACTTAGATTGCGCACAGGTGGACTTTATTTAACTAATTATGTGACATCTGAAGGTAATTGGTTGCACCAGATCTTATTTAGGGGCTTCATAGCAAAGGGGGTGAATACGCACCACTTCTGTTATTTTTTTCACTTCACCAATTTGGACTATTTTGTGTATGTCCATTACATGAAATCCAAATAAAAATCCATTTAAATTGCAGGTTGTAATGCAACAAAATAGGAAAAACGCCAAGGAGGATGAATACTTTTGCAAGGCACTGTACATATAGATATTCATTCAAAACCTCCCGAGACCCGAATTTGGGTCGCGACCCACCAGTTGAATACCTGTACTACAGTTCGCAGAAACACTACATTAATTACTATAGTTAACAGTAAATACTACAGTAATGTCTGCAAAAACACTAATACTACAGTATTTAGACCAGGGGTGTCAAACGTACGGCCCGCGGGCCGGATCAGGCCCGCAAACGGGTTTAATCCGGCCCGCGAGATGATTTTTTTTTTTGGGGGGGGGGGGGGGGATTTTTTTTATTTTTTAAATTCAATAAAATAAACTGCTGTTCCAATTGCGTCCACTGGATGGCGCAATAGCAATTGTGTTAAGCAAGCAAACTGTTTATACCGGGGCAGAGCAAGTAGGTCAAGCACGTGCAGCCAATGAACTACTTTGTTTTGCCCGCGATATTTATTACGGCTTCTACTTTTAACATTATGTGCTTTGGCACCCTCATTGCCCCAATATGTCTCTGTCAAAAAAGAGAAAAGTGGACACAGAGTGCAGAGTGTTCCAAGAAAAATGGTTATCCTATTTAATCACGGAATTGAATGGGAAAGCTGTATGTTTGGTGTGTTCAGAGCATGTTGCAGTGCTGAAAGAATATAACCTTCGTCGCCACTATGTGAGTCTTCATGCCGACAAATATGACAACTTTCAAGGACCACGGAGATGAGAGAAGGTGAAGGAACTGTTGGCGGGTCTGAAGAAACAGCAGTCTGTGTTTACTCACAGCCGAGACATCAGTGACACTGCAGTGAAAGCTAGCTACCTCATTGCTAATGAAATCGCAGTGGCTTCAAAACCATTTAGTGAGGGTGAATTTGTAAAAACATGCATGATGAAGGCAGCAGAGATTGTGTGCCCTGAAAAGCGGCAGGCTTTTGCAAATATCAGCCTGACAAGAAACACAGTTGCAGACAGGATTTCCGATCTTTCAGTGGATTTGGACAGCCAGTTGAAGCAAAAAGTAAAGTCATTTATTGCGTTTTCGGTTGCAATTGATGAAAGCACGGACATTACAGATGTTGCACAACTGGCCATTTTTTCATCCGCGGAGTTGATGACACATTGACCGTCACCGAGGAGTTCGTGGAGTTGGTGCCGATGACAGATACAACGACAGCAGCTGATATTTTTACCGCACTCGTCGGCGCGCTGGACAGGGTCGGAGTGGACTGGCCCGCGCTGTCAGCCTGGCTACAGATGGTGCGCCCTCAATGATCGGGAAAAAAGCAGGCGTTGTGACAAAGTTCAGAGAGAAAGTGCAATCTGCAAATGAAGGACGTGATTTTTTGACTTTTCACTGTATTTTGCACCAGGAGGCTTTGTGTTGCAAGTCATTAAAGATGGATAACGTCATGAAGGTGGTCATCCAAACTGTTAATTTCATCCGATCCAGAAGCCTGAATCACCGTCAGTTTGACAGCCTTCTCAGAGAGAAAGACCACATCTATGGCCTGCCATACCACACTGAGGTAAGATGGTTAAGCCGAGGTGCTGTGCTGAGGCGTTTCTTTGATTTACGAGAAGAAATTGAACAGTTCATGGAAGAAAAGGGCAAACCAGTGTTAGAATTTCATTCCGCAGAATGGATGCCGGACCTTGCATTTATGGTGGATGTTACAGAGCACGTGAATAACTTGAACAAACAGCTGCAAGGGCGCAACAAAGTTGTCACGCAGTATTATGACAGCATACGTTCTTTCAAGTTGAAGCTGTCATTGTGGGAGACGCAACTTGCCGGTGGTGATGCAGCTCACTTCCCCTGTCTGAAAAATGTGTGCGCGACCCAACATGTGGCAGACATGAAGCGGTTCAAAGATAAAATAACGGGACTGTTACGGGAGTTTGAGCAACGCTTTCAGATTTATGTTTATATGTTTTTATGTTGATGTGCTATTGTTTTTAATTGTTTTTATTTTATTTGTATATTTAACCTATTCTTGACTCTGTGGTTCTTGCACTTGTTTGGGGAACAGGATTTCATTATTTTTATCTACATTTCTGCCTGAGAAATGACACCCTGATATAGTTCTGTGATCTGTGATATACTTCTGTGAATCACTGAGGCATTGTGTGTTTGTGTGTTCTTTGTCCTCAGAACTTTCAAATAACTTGGTGTTTTATGATTAATAGTGATGTTGTGCTTTTGGACACTGTCCTCAGGCTCCAGCTTTATGTTTATGTTTTTATGTTGATGTGCTATTGTTTTTAATTTATTTTATTGTATTTGTATATTTAACCTATTCTTGACTCTGTGGTTCTTGCACTTGTTTGGGGAACAGGATTTCATTATTTTTATCTACATTTCTGCCTGAGAAATGACACCCTGATATAGTTCTGTGATCTGTGAAACAGTTCTGTTAATCACGGAGGCATTGTGTGTTTGTGTTATTTTTCTTTAGAATTTTCAAATAAACTTGACGTGTTTTATGATTAATAGTGATGTTGTGCTTGTACTATTTTGGACACACTGTCCTCAGGCTCCAGCTTTATGTTGATCGTATTAAAACAAAGAAAACAATCTGAAGTTGTTTGTTTTAAGTTATATATATATACACCATGATTTTTCTGGTCCGGCCCACTTGGGAATAGATTTTCCTCCATGTGGCCCCTGAGCTAAAATGAGTTTGACACCCCTGATTTAGACCATAGTATGTATTTTTTTTTATATGGGTAGGTGGAGCATAATACCAATACTAGCAGCCACATTGCACTGATCTAGTCCTTCTCCCCTCCAGCTAATTGTGTGTGTGTGTGTGTGTGTGTGTGTAGCTGATCTCGTCGGTAGACCCTAGTAATCTGAAGCTGACCAAGGTGGATGACCGGATCTATACGTCCTTCAGAGAATCCTTCTCAGACCTCAACATCAAGAACTTGGACCCAGACATGCTCAAAACCGCAGATGCCAAAGAGGTAGGGGACTGGGTGTGTGTTACAGGAGTCAGAAAAAAGGGACGGAGGAAGAGTGTGAGAGAGAAACTAACCTTGTCTGTGTTGGCGTCTATAGAAGTGGCGTCCGTTCTGTAACCAGTTTGACGGGGTGGTGGAGGACTTTAACTACGGGACTTTGCTACGACTTGACTGTGAGAGGGACTACACAGAGGAAAACACCATATTTGGTATGTTCAGTCAGTCACTATTACACACACAAAACGTTGTCACTGTTTAAAGGTGGCTACATCAGTGTTAACTGTGATCATGTTGTTCCTGCAGCCACCAGGATCCAGTTCTTTGCCATCGAGATCGCTAGGAACAGAGAAGGATTCAACACCCCTGTATTCCAGGCAAAAAAACAGCCTTCTTAACCCATACCTTAACCTCTTTAGCCTAGTCTAACACCCCTATAAACCCAACCTCCTCTATCCCAGGAACAGATGTTTCAACAGCCCTGGTTACCAGGCTTAACATCCATCTCCTTACACTTTTCCTGTGATCGTCCACATATCAGGTCTACTGGATACTAGACCAGTGGCACGTTCAGCAGGGCACCACGTTGTGGAATGTTCATAGATATTATGTAGAACAAACAATTCATGACATTTCTGTCTACAACGTTTTCTTACTGAACGTGGCCCAGAGGTCCACCCCCCACACACCAGCCTGCATCCCACTGTGTGTATGAGTGCGTGTACTGATGTCCAAACTGATCATGGTAGCTACAGTGGCTTCAAAGTATTCACACCCCTTGACTTTTTCCACATTTTGTTGTTACAGCCTGAATTTAAAATGAGTTTAGTTGCAATTGTGTCACTGGTCTACACAATACCCCATAATGTCAAAGTGGAATTATGTTTTTAGAAATTTTGGAAAATCAATAAAAAATGAAAAACCTTGAGTCAAGTATTCAACCCCTTATATGGCCAGCCTAAATAAGTTCAGGAGTAAAAATGTGTTAAACAAGTAACATAAGTTGCATGGACTCACTGTGTGCAATAAGTGTATAACATTATTTTAACGACTACCTCATCTCTGTACCCCACACATACAATTATCTGTAAAGTCCCTCAGTTGAGCAGTGAATTTCCAATGTCTCGCAAAGGGCACCTATTGGTAGATAAAAAAAAGAAAACACATTGAATATCCCTTTGGATGGTGTAGCAATACACCTAGTCACTACAAGGATACAGGCGTCCTTCCTAACTCAGTTGCCGGAGAGGAAGGAAACCGCTCAGGAATTTCACCATGAGGCCAATGGTGAGTTTAATGGCTGTGATAGGAGAAAATTGAGGATAGATCAACATTGTAGTTACTCCACTATAATAACTTAAATGACAGCGTGAAAAGAACGAAGCCTGTACAGAATACAAATATTCCAAAACATGCATCCTGTTTGCAATAAGGCACCAAAGTAAAACTGCAAACAATTGGCAAATAAATTAACTTTGTCCTGAATACAAAATGTTATGTTTGAGGAAAATCCAACATCCCTGATCACCACTTAATATTTTCAAGCACGGTGGTGGCTGCATCATGTTATGGTTATGCTCGTCATCAGCAAGGACTAGGGAGTTTTTGGGGGATAAAAATTAATGGAATAGAGCTAAGCACAGGCGAAAACCTGGTTGTCTGCTTTCCAACAGACACTGGAAGACAATCACCTTTCAGCAGGACAATAACCTAAAACACAAGGCTAAATATACACAAGTTGCTTACCAAGACGACATTGAATGTTCCAGTTGACTTAAACCGGGTTGAAAACCTATGGCAAGACTTAAATGGCTGTCTAGCAATGATCAACAACCAATTTGACAGAGCTTGAAGAATTTTGAAAAGAGTGTGCAAATATTATACAATCCAGGTGTGCAAAGCTCTTAGACTTACCCAGAAAGACTCACAGCTGTTATCGCTGCCAAAGATTATTCTAACATGTATTGACTCAGGGGGTTGAATACTTATCTAATCAAGATTAGGTTTTATTCAACAAAAAATTTTTTTTTTTATTGTGTAGATTGTTAGTGGGATAAAATGGATTTGTCATTTTTGGGGTGAACAATGTGGAAAAGGTCAAGGTGTGAATACTTTGAAGGCATTGTATATGTAATTAGGTTTCCTCGTATTTGTGGCAATAATTTCTGGGTATGACTAGGTTCTTGTTTTTGTACAAAGTTTGTTTCAAATGACATTCTTTATAGTGAACCACTTTTGACCAGAGCGCTGGCTAAAAGTGGTGCACTATATAGGAAATAGGGTGTCCTTTTTTATTTGCCGGTGTGTATCCGACTGCATTCACTGACTAGTCTCGTGAATTGTAAAAATACATAAATATGAATAAATGGAAGTCTGGAATCAACATGTTTGTTAAATCCTTATGAAGATATTACCTTGCTAGTCTGCACCACACTAAAGACATGACCCATGTTGTGCAGTGGAAGAACTCTGTGACAGCGTGGTATACAAACCAAATGACGTTTATTTGCAGTCAATGCTGACACTATAATAATGTAGCCGACATCCACACAACTCAACCAAGCTACCGATCCAACACACTCACATCAGAGAACCAAGCTACTGATCCAACACACACAAACTTCAGGGAACCAAAACAATAGAAACCAGGAAGTCAAATCAACATGGTTAGAGATGAGCTAGTCGTCACAAACAGTTAGCAGCAACATCTGTAGAGTAGCACAAGTTGCTAATGAACTCTGAACCCCCATCTCCTCTAATACAGAGTTCTGTATTCTTATTCCTATCATCCATATCCATAATACACAGCTCTGTTCTACTAAAGGTTGCATTATTCTTCATTTTCTCATTTAGAAATAAACAATCCTTCAGGGAGTTTGGAGACGAGTGCTGAATGTTCTAGAATGTCCAGGTAGGTTCTGGCTGGAGCTCACAGCTCCTTCACAGCACCCTGGGAGGTCACACACTCAGTCACTGCAGCGACGCTCCTTTCCGTTGAGTTATCAGATCTGTGACCCCTACACACTAGCCTGCTCAGACACTTCACCCCTCCCCTAACCCAACTTACCCCCAAAAAGTTAGTGTCAGCTCCAACCAGCCTACCAGAGGGTAAAGTGGAGCATAACTTTAACCCATATAACCCTGCCCCCCACCTACACCCAATCCTAATGGAACAAGCAATCATTTTTTAGGCAAAGTGTCTCGGTGCTAGGGTAAGTGTCTAGGGGCAGTGCCTAGGGAGTAAGGGAGGTGGGTATTTACATCGCTCAAATTAGAGGGCCAGAGGAACATGTACAACACAGCCACTCCGTCTCACACACTTTCTCTGCCCCTTTGCAGCTCTAGTGCTCTCTCCTCCCTCTCATCCCTGTAGAAAGTTTGCTCCCCACACAGACAAACAGGTGCACTGACTCACTACACTGTAAAAAGTTCAATCACACGTTTCTCATTTTGTTTTAAATTCAATCAATATAAACATTGTTCAAAATGTTATGAAAAAAAATGTACACTTGTTTTGTTGTGTTTCTATACAAGGCAGGCAGAAGCAGAGAACTACATTTACCAGCTTCCCCCTTTTCACCCGCTCTCCTCGTTCATCCCCTCACTCCTCCTCTCCTGCAGATTCTCTCCCTCCAGAATGTGTAGAGGTATCCTCCGTCCATCCTCCTTCTCTCCCTCTCCTCCCAGCGAGCAGCAGAGCGACCTCCGGTGACCTCTACAAACTGGCTTTAAAATAGATCTGTATATTTATATAGGCTTCTATAAAAAGGAGGGGGGAACCAAAAGGGGGAGGAGGGGTGAGAGGAGGAGTTGAGTTTGGGGGAAGCTGCTCTGTGTGGAGCAGGTGTGTGTGTGTTTGTGTGGAATGTCAGCTCATCATGTCATTGCTGTTGACTCCGTAAGAAGAGTTCTTCATGCTGTCGTTCACCTCCCTCCGGAACACCGACAGATTCTGGGTGAACCTGCACAAATTAATACAGAGAGAGTTAACACACAGTTACTGCACACACAGTCAGCGCACACAGTTATCATGTGTGGATAGAGGGTGGCTGGGATTGTGTGTACCTGTCTCTGTTCTTGGTTAGCAGGTTGCGTTCTATCCCCTCCATCAGGTTCTCAAAGCAGAGATGCATGGCCTGCTGCTTCTCTGGAGGCTGGCTGTTCACAATACTGTTTCTCAGGTCTGCAAAATACTACACACACAGACAAAAATTCAGTTTCTCTGATCTGCAAAATACTGCATAAATTGAGATATATACACACAGGTAGAGGCTGTGTCAGGTTTTTTTCCTTTTTTAGCCAGGACAGTCCACTCAGTAACAATTGCCACATGCAGGGATTAAAGCAACAAAAAAAATCCCATGACTGAAATTTAAGTCGATTTCAGATTGATTGTTTGGGGCCAGGTTAACCTCCCCTTTCATGTAAGAAAGTCATTAGCATCATGCTTTTAGGGGATCATGCTTTTAGGGAAAGGGGTTAATTTTGAACATGTATTAAACTTGCTTAGGGGGTCTGGGGTCTTCCCCGGGATAATTTTTTATGTAGGACAGAAGCTTAGACTTTTTAAAAATACATTCTACTCCAAAATGAATGAAGAATAATGACACCATCTAAAATATAATTTCCACCTCCAGAAATGAGCCAAATAACATATTGGTAAACATTAAAACAATTACTTTAACATTTTGGACCATACATACAGCCTGGTCTATATTATCAGATGTGCTATTAGCAATAAGCATGATCACCTGTAGCCCAACTGATGCAGCATAGTGGCTATAAAATGTACATAGGCTGAAGCATGGGTTTGTCCTTCTGCATTTACCCCATTGGACACAACCTCCTGATTTATTATTTATTATAAATAATTATATGATTCCCTTCCTAAAATGTTTTTAGGGGGGTTTCTATTACAAAGTACGTGATTGCAATTTTAAGAAGCCATTGTCCCTTTAAGAGCTCTGTTGTGCAGCTGCACCTAAATCATGCTTGAAACTCTGGTTGCAACTGCATTTATAAAACGATTCCACTCGCGCAATTGAAGGAGTAGAGAAATAAACGTAGTATGGTGGTAGCAATGGAGAACTGGGATCCCCATTTTTTTAAACAAAGGCCAAAACATTAGAAACCCCTTCCTAATATTTAGTTGCACCCCCTTTTGCCCTCAGAACAGCCTCAATTCATCGGGGCATGCCTCTACAAGGTGTCGAAAGCGTTCCACAGGGATGCTGGCCCACAGGGATGCTGGATTGACGCCAATGCTTCCCAAAGTTGTCTGGATGTCATTTGGGTGGTGGACCATTCTTGATTCACGGGAAACTGTAGAGCGTGAAAAACCCAGCAGCGTTGCAGTTCTTGACACATTCAAACCGGTGCGCCTGGCACCTACTACCATACCCCGTTCAAAGGCACTTAAATATTTTGTCTTGCCCATGCACACATACACAATCCATGTCTCAACTGTCCCAAGGCTTAAAAATCATTCTTTAACCGGTCTCCTCCCCTTCATCTACACTGATTGAAGTAGATTTAACAGGTGATATCAATAGGAATCACCTGGTCAGTCTCATGGAATGAGCAGGTGTTCATAATGTTTTGTAAACTCAGTGTATGCATGTCAGTTCAGTGCACACAACATAACAGATAAAAAATGGGAATATATTTCGTAGAACAGACAGGCTTCTGATTTAGGCCATGTAATCTTCAAACAAGCCCCCCGGAGATTTTTATTGCGGATCTAAAAAAAATGGCCTCTCCAGAATCAATATGACGAAAATCCTTTAACCCCTGCACATGTCTTCCAGGGAGTGGTGGGATAATGGGTGTGTGGTTGTGGTTGTGTACCTGTACCTTCTCGTTGAGCAGGATGAGGCCCAGTAGAGGTCTGGACATGGACCACTGGTTCCTGCAGTCCTCAAAGATGATGATGTTCAACACCGTGGACAACATCTGTAGGACAAACACACATATTGATTATTGTTTGTTTGTGTTAGTGATGCGCGGGTCAGCGGTTTGTTCACCAGCACCCAGCCGCAATTACTAATAACCCATCCATAACCGCCTGGCTATGTGATAGTGAAATTCTGAGGCACGCACCTGACCCAAACCCGCAAATATAGAAAATGCACTGTACAGTTAGTTCCCTTTTTGTCTCTTCAACAATGACGTTTTTATTCAAAATGTATTTATTGAATAATTATGCCTATTGAACAGTAGCCTAATGTTTTGCTAAAACAAAAAATGGCAAACAATAGCCTAAACCAGAGATGGGCAACTGGCAGCCCGCTCTGATCATTTTTTTTTGTAGGAACTCACAGAGCTCTTCAGTAAGGCCATTCTACTGCCAATGTTTGTCTATGAAGATTGCATGGCTGGTGTGCTCGATTTTATACACCTGTCAGCAACAGGTGTGGCTGAAATATATATATATATATACATATACACACACACACACACACACACACACACATACACAAACACACAGTGGGGAGAACAAGTATTTGATACACTGACGATTTTGCAGGTTTTCCTACTTACAAAGCATGTAGAGGTCTGTAATTTTTATCATTGGTACACTTCAACTGTGAGAGACGGAATCTAAAACAAAAATCCAGAATCACTTTGTATGATTTTTAAGTAATTAATTTGCATTTTATTGCATGACATAAGTATTTGATACATCAGAAAAGCGGAACTTAATATTTGGTACAGAAACCTTTGTTTGCAATTACAGAGATCATACGTTTCCTGTAGGTCTTGACCAGGTTTGCACACACTGCAGCAGGGATTTTGGCCCACTCCTCCATACAGACCTTCTCCAGATCCTTCAGGTTTCGGGGCTGTCGCTGGGCAATACGGACTTTCAGCTCCCTCCAAAGATTTTCTATTGGGTTCAGGTCTGGAGACTGGCTAGGCCACTCCAGGACCTTGAGATGCTACTCACGGAGCCACTCCTTAGTTGCCCTGGCTGTGTGTTTCGGGTCGTTGTCATGCTGGAAGACCCAGCCACGACCCATCTTCAATGCTCTTACTGAGGGAAGGCGGTTGTTGGCCAAGATCTCGCGATACATGGCCCCATCCATCCTCCCCTCAATACGGTGCAGTCGTCCTGTCCCCTTTGCAGAAAAGCATCCGCAAAGAATGATGTTTCCACCTCCATGCTTCACGGTTGGGATGGTGTTCTTGGGGTTGTACTCATCCTTCTTCTTCCTCCAAACACGGCGAGTGGAGTTTAGACCAAAAAGCTGTATTTTTGTCTCATCAGACCACATGACCTTCTCCCATTCCTCCTCTGGCTCATCCAGATGGTCATTGGCAAACTTCAGACGGGCCTGGACATGCGATGGCTTGAGCAGGGGGACCTTGCGTGCGCTGCAGGATTTTAATCCATGACGGCGTAGTGTGTTACTAATGGTTTTCTTTGAGACTGTGGTCCCAGCTCTCTTCAGGTCATTGACCAGGTCCTGCCGTGTAGTTCTGGGCTGATCCCTCACCTTCCTCATGATCATTGATGCCCCACGAGGTGAGATCTTGCATGGAGCCCCAGACCGAGGGTGATTGACCGTCATCTTGAACTTCTTCCATTTTCTAATAATTGCGCCAACAGTTGTTGCCTTCTCACCAAGCTGCTTGCCTATTGTCCTGTAGCCCATTCCTGATGTCCTTACACAGCTCTCTGGTCTTTTTGGCCATTGTGGAGAGGTTGGAGTCTGTTTGATTGAGTGTGTGGACAGGTGTCTTTTATACAGGTAACGAGTTCAAACAGGTGCAGTTAATACAGGTAATGAGTGGAGAACAGGAGGGCTTCTTAAAGAAAAACTAACAGGTCTGTGAGAGCCGGAATTCTTACTGGTTGGTACAAATACTTATGTCATGCAATAAAATGCAAATGAATTACTTAAAAATCATACAATGTGATTTTCTGGACTTTTGTTTTAGATAGCCCCTGGTTCTCCTCAGACTTGACTGCCCTTGACCAGCACAAAAACATCCTGTGGCGTACTGCATTAGCATCGAACAGCCCCCGCGATATGCAACTTTTTAGGGAAGTCAGGAACCAATATAAACAATCAGTTAGGAAAGCAAAGGCTAGCTTTTGGGACACTCTAAAGTCCATGGAAAATAAGAGCACCTCCTCCCAACTGCCCACTGAACTGAGGCTAGGAAACACTGTCACCACCGATAAAACTACAATAATCGAGAATTTCAACAAGCATTTTGCTACGGCTGGCCATGCTTTCCACCTGGCTACCACTACCCCGGCCACCAGCTCTGCACCCTCCGCTGCAACTTGCCCATGCTTTGGTTTCTCTAATGACTGCCTCGCCTGGTTCACCAACTACTTCTCAGATAGAGTTCAATGTGTCAAATCGGAGGGCCTGTTGTCTGGACCTCTGGCCGTCTCTATGGGGGTGCCACAGGGTTTAATTCTCGGGCCGACTCTATTCTCTGTGTATATCAATGATGTCGCTCTTGCTGCTGGTGACGCTCGGATCCACCTCTATGCGGACGACACCATCTGGCCCTTCATTGGACACTGTGTTAACAAACCTCCAAACGAGCTTCAACGCCATACAACACTCCTTCCGTAGCCTCCAACTGCTCTTAAAAACACTAGTAAAACTAAATGCATGCTCTTCAACCGAACGCTGCTTGCACCCGCACACCCGACTAGAATCACTACTCTCGGCTGGTCTGACCTAGAGTATGTGGACAACTACAAATACCTAGGTGTCTGGTTAGACTGTAAACTCTCCTTCCAGACTCACATTAAACATCTCCAATCAAAAGTTAGATCTAGAATCTTATTCCTATTTTGCAACAAAGCCTCCTTCACTCATGCTGCCAAACATGCCCTCATAAAACTGACTATCCTACCGATCCTTGACTTCGGCGATGTCATTTACAGAATAGCCTCCAACACTCTACTCAGCAAATTGGATGTAGTCTATCACAGTGCCATCCGTTTTGTCAAAGCCCCATATACTACCCACCATTGTGACCTGTACGCTCTTGTTGGCTGGCCCTAACTACATATTCGTCGCCAAACCCACTGGCTCCAGGTCATCTATAAATCACTGCTAGGCAAATCCCTGTCTTATCTTAGCTCACTGGTCACCATAGCAACACCCACCCGTAGTCTGCGCTCCAGCAGGTATATCTCACTGGTCATCCCCAAAGCAAACACCTCCTTTGGCCGCCATTCCTTCCAGTTCTCTGCTGCCAATGACTGGAACGAACTGCAAAAATCTCTGAAGCTGGAGACACTTATCTCCCTCACTAACTTTAAGCATCAGTTGTCAGAGCAGCTTACCGATCACTGCACCTGTACACAGCCTTTCTGAAATTAGCCCACCCAACTACCTCATCCCCATATTGTTATTTATTTTGCTAATTTGCACCCCAGTATCTCTATTTGCACATCATCTTTTGCACATCTATCATTCCAGTGTTATACAAAATTGTAACTATTTTGCACTATGGCCTATTTATTGCCTTACCTCCATTACTTACTACATTCGCACACACTGTATATATATTTTCTGTTGTATTTTTGACTTTGTTTTGTTTACCCCATATGTAACTCTGGGTTGTTGTTTTTAAATCGCACTGCTTTGCTTTATCTTGGCCAGGTCGCAGTTGTAAATGAGAACTTGTTCTCAACTGGCTTACCTGGTTAAATAAATAAAATATTTTAAAAAATTCCGTCTCTCACAGTTGAAGTGTACCTATGATAAAAATTACAGACCTCTACATGCTTTGTAAGTAGGAAAACTTGCAAAATCGGCAGTGTATCAAATACTTGTTCTCCCCACTGTATGTACAGTGGGGGAAAAAAGTATTTAGTCAGCCACCAATTGTGCAAGTTCTCCCACTTAAAAAGATGAGAGAGGCCTGTAATTTTCATCATAGGTACACGTCAACTATGACAGACAAAATTAGAAAAAAAAATCCAGAAAATCACATTGTAGGATTTTTTATGAATTTATTTGCAAATTATGGTGGAAAATAAGTATTTGGTCAATAACAAAAGTTTCTCAATACTTTGTTATATACCCTTTGTTGGCAATGACACAGGTCAAACGTTTTCTGTAAGTCTTCACAAGGTTTTCACACACTGTTGCTGGTATTTTGGCCCATTCCTCCATGCAGATCTCCTCTAGAGCAGTGATGTTTTGGGGCTGTCGCTGGGCAACACGGACTTTCAACTCCCTCCAAAGATTTTCTATGGGGTTGAGATCTGGACACTGGCTAGGCCACTCCAGGACCTTGAAATGCTTCTTACGAAGCCACTCCTTCGTTGCCCGGGCGGTGTGTTTGGGATCATTGTCATGTTGAAAGACCCAGCCACGTTTCATCTTCAATGCCCTTGCTGATGGAAGGAGGTTTTCACTCAAAATCTCACGATACATGGCCCCATTAATTCTTTCCTTTACACGGATCAGTCGTCCAGGTCCCTTTGCAGAAAAACAGCCCCAAAGCATGATGTTTCCACCCCCATGCTTCACAGTAGGTATGGTGTTCTTTGGATGCAACTCAGCATTCTTTGTCCTCCAAACACGACGAGTTGAGTTTTTACCAAAAAGTTCTATTTTGGTTTCATCTGACATTCTCCCAATCCTCTTCTGGATCATCCAAATGCACTCTAGCAAACTTCAGACGGGCCTGGACATGTACAGGCTTAAGCAGGGGGACACGTCTGGCACTGCAGGATTTGAGTCCCTGGCGGCGTAGTGTGTTACTGATGGTAGGCTTTGTTACTTTGGTCCCAGCTCTCTGCAGGTCATTCACTAGGTCCCCCCGTGTGGTTCTGGGATTTTTGCTCACCGTTCTTGTGATCATTTTGACCCCACGGGGTGAGATCTTGCGTGGAGCCCCAGATCGAGGGAGATTATCAGTGGTCTTATATGTCTTCCATTTCCTAATAATTGCTCCCACAGTTGATTTCTTCAAACCAAGCTGCTTACCTATTGCAGACTCAGTCTTCCCAGCCTGGTGCAGGTCTACAATTGTATTTCTGGTGTCCTTTGACAGCTCTTTGGTCTTGGCCATAGTGGAGTTTGGAGTGTGACTGTTTGAGGTTGTGGACAGGTGTCTTTTATACTGATAACAAGTTCAAACAGGTGCCATTAATACAGGTAACGAGTGGAGGACAGAGGAGCCTCTTAAAGAAGAAGTTACAGGTCTGTGAGAGCCAGAACTCTTGCTTGTTTGTAGGTGACCAAATACTTATTTTCCACCATAATTTGCAAATAAATTCATAAAAAATCCTACAATGTGATTTTCTTGATTTTTTTTCCTCAATTTGTCTGTCATAGTTGACGTGTACCTATGATGAAAATTACAGGCCTCTCATCTTTTTAAGTGGGAGAACTTGCACAATTGGTGGTTGACTAAATACTTTTTTTCCCCACTGTATGTATGTATGTATGTATGTATGTATGTATGTATGTATGTATGTATGTATGTATGTATGTATGTATGTATGTATGTATGTATGTATGTATGTATGTATGTATATATATATATATATATATATATATATATATATATATATATATATTACATTACATTACATTACAACCTGCAAACGTCGCTCACCACCCTTTGGAACAATTTGTAGAAATTGCAGGAAATTACTGTAAAACAGCACATTTTCCTCTCCAACACTGTCATAATCGGTAGAATTGCACGAAATTAACTCTGTGGCCCCCACCCCCATCAAAGTTGCCCATCACTGGCCTAAACTGACACCTTGCACATACTTTTGTGAAAATACACTGTACAATTAAGGTATTTTGAACTTCAACAATTTATTGAACAATTACTTTTTTCTTGAGCATTTAGGCCTATTCATTTGAAAAGGCTTATTGAACTGTAGCCTATCGTTTTGCTTAAACAAAACAAAATGTGAAACAAATGGACATCTTGTAGGCCGACTGCCTGTGTGGGCTAATGCATATTAAACAAAAAATCGAATGACATAAAAAAAGGCTTACAAAATAAAGAAAATCAAAGTAGGCTACCCACTGTCCAGTGATGAGGCTATTTGCCTACCTTTCTTTTGCAGCACAGTTCATAAACAAAATAGTGCCCACTAGAGGTCTTCACAGGTCCAAAAAGTTGGACCCGTGGCTTTCCCACCCAACCCGATATGCATAAAAACATTGTAATTTTTTTATGGAGAGCCGTTCCGAATGGACCCGAGGACAGTCAGACCCGTTCAGAAAAAGGACTGTGGAAACACAGACCCAAACTGACCCTGATAGTCTACTACTGCTATACAGATATTGGCGTACAGAAGGAGGCTAAATCGTTAATTTCGATCAGAATATTTTTGATAAAGATGAGCATTATATTGTTAGATTAAAGGAGTTACTCTGATAGGCCTAAAACATTCTTCCTCACCTCAAATGTAACTGTCAGAGTCAGTTGGAGCACCGGTTTGCACCGGCCTGCAGTAGCTAAAGCCTATCATAGCCAAAACACACCAAACATTCACAAAAGTTCCTAAACTTTATTAATATCAAAAGTAAGTACACCCATTGTTTATAGGGAAAATATGAACAGGATATTACAGTGAGGGAAAAAAGTATTTGTACAATTGCCCACTGACAAAGAAATCATCAGTCTATAATTGTAATGGTATGTTTATTTGAACAGTGAGAGACAGAACAACAACAACAAAATCCAGAAAAATGCATGTCAAAAATGTTATAAATTGATTTGCATTTAAATTAGGTAAAATAAGTATTTGACCCCCTCTCAATCAGAAAGATTTCTGGCTCCCAGGTGTCTTTTATACAGGTAACGAGCTGAGATTAGGAGCACACTTTTAAAGGGAGTGCTCCTAATCTCAGTTTGTTACCTGTATAAAAAGACACCTGTCTACAGAAGCAATCAATCAGATTCCAAACTCTCAACCATGGCCAAGACCAAAGAGCTCTCCAAGGATGTCAGGGACAAGATTGTAGACCTACACAAGGCTGGAATGGGCTACAAGACCATCGCCAAGCAGCTTGGTGAGAAGGTGACAACAGTTGGTGTGATTATTCGCAAATGGAAGAAACACAAAAGAACTGTCAATCTCCCTCGGCCTGGGGCTCCATGCAAGATCTCACCTTGTGGAGTTGCAATGACCATGAGAACGGTGAGGAATCAGCCCAGAACTACATGGGAGGATCTTGTCAATGATCTCTAGGCAGCTGGGACCATAGTCACCAAGAAAACAATTGGTAACACACTACGCCGTGAAGGACTGAAATCCTGCAGCGCCCGCAAGGTCCCCTTGCTCAAGAAAGCACATTTACAGGCCCGTCTGAAGTTTGCCAATGAACATTGAATGATTCAGAGGAGAACTGGGTGAAAGTGGTGTGGTCAGATGAGACCAAAATGGAGCTCTTTGGCATCAACTCAACTCGCCGTCTTTGGAGGAGGAGGAATGCTGCCTATGACCCCAAGAACACCATCCCCACCGTCAAACATGGAGGTGGAAACATTATGCTTTGGGGGTGTTTTTCTGCTAAGGGGACAGGACAACTTCACCACATCAAAAGGGACGATGGACGGGGCCATGTACCGTCAAATCTTGGGTGAGAACCTCCTTCCCTCAGCCAGGGCATTGAAAATGGGTCATGGATGGGTATTCCAGCATGACAATGACCCAAAACACACGGCCATGGCAACAAAGGAGTGGCTCAAGAAGAAGCACATTAAGGTCCTGGAGTGGCCTAGCCAGTCTCCAGACCTTAATCCCATAGAACATCTGTGGAGGGAGCTGAAGGTTCAAGTTGCCAAACGTCAGCCTCGAAACCTTAATGACTTGGAGAACATCTGCAGAGAGGTCAAATACTTATTTCCCCAAATAAAATGCAAATCAATTCATAAAATTTTTGACATGCGTTTTTCTGGATTTTTTTGTTGTTATTCTGTCTCTCACTTTTCAAATAAACCTACCATTACAATTATAGACTGATCATTTCTTTGTCAGTGGGCAAACGTACAAAATCAGCAGGGTATCAAATACATTTTTCCCCTCACTGTATATTGCGGCATTACATTACGTTTATTTTTTCATCTCGGTCTACTTGGTTTTTCCTTTTCATGGTTTGAGTGCGAGTAACATAGTAATTCCATTATATTGCGGCAAACATTACAGTTGGAACTTAATTTGGCCAAAGCAAATGGCTCAACAGAATGAAAAAAATACGTGTTGCATATTTAAAGAAACTGTTTTAAACCGTCACAAAAGTTTTGAACAGCCTATATTACACCAACAAAAAGGTGAGTGCCTATACTGTAGGCTACCCAACAAATGACAGCAATAGGCTAATTACATTTATTTTACAACTGGCCTACTTACAGTGCAGTCGGAAAGTATTCAGACCCCTTGACTTTTTCCAAATTGAGTTATTTATATAAAAAAAAAAAAATTATCTATACACACAATATCCCATCATGACAAAGCAAAAACAGGTTTTTAGACATTTTTGTAAATGTATATATAAAAAAACTAAATATGCCATTTACATAAGTATTCAGACCATTTACGCAGTACTTTGTTGAAGCACCTTTGGCAGCGATTACAGCCTCGAGTCTTCTTGGGTATGACGCTACAAGCTTGGCACACCTGTATTTGGGGAGTTTCTCATATTCTTCTCTGCAGATCCTCTCAAGCTCTGTCAGATTGGATGGGGAGCGTCGCTGCACAGCTATTTTCAGGTCTCTCCAGATATGTTAGATGGGGTTCAAGTCCAGGCTCTGGCTGGGCCGTTCAAGGACATTCAGAGACTTGTCCCAAAGCCACTCCTGCGTTGTCTTGGCTGTGTGCTTAGAGTCGTTGTCCTGTTGGAAGGTGACCCTTCACCCCAGTCTGAGGTCCTGAGCGCTCTGGAGTAGGTTTTCATCAAGGATCTCTCTGTAATTTGCTCCATTCATCTTTCCCTCGATCCTGACTAGTCTCCCAGTCCCTGCCGCTGAAAAACATCCCCACAGCACGATGCTGCCACCACCATACTTCACCGTAGGGATGGTGCCAGGTTCCCTTCAGACGTGACGCTTTACATTCGGGCCAAAGAGTTCAATATTGGTTTCATCAGACCAGAGAATCTGGTTTCATGGTCTGAGAGTCCTTTAGGTGCCTTTTGGCAAACTCCAAGCGGGCTGTCATGTGCCTTTTACTGAGGAGTGGTTCTACCATAAAGGCCTGACTGGTGGAGTGCTGCAGAGATGGTTGTCCTTCTGGAAGGTTCTCCCATCTCCACAGAGGTACTCTGGAGCTCTGTCAGTGACCATTGGGTTCTTGGTCACCTCCCTGACCAAGGCCCTTCTCCCCCGATTGCTCAGTTTGTCTGGGCGCCAGCTCTCAGAAGAGTCTTGGTTGTTCCAAACTTCTTCCATTTAAGAATGATGGAGGCCACAGTGTTCTTGGGGACCTTCAATGCTGCAGAAACGTGTTGGTATCCTGTCTCGGAGCTCTACGGACAATTCCTTCGACCTCATGGCTTGGTTTTTGCTCTGACATGCACTGTCAACTGTGGGACCTTATATAGACAGGTGTGTGCCTTTCCAAAATCATGTCCAATCAATTGAATTTACCACAGGTGGACTCCAATCAAGTTGTAGAAACATCTCAAGGATGATCAATGGAAACAGGATGCACATGACCTCAATTTCGAGTCTCATAGCAAATGGTCTGAATAATTATGTAAATAAGGGATCTTTTTTTTTGTGTGTGAATAAATTAGCAAACATGTCTAAAAACCTGTTTCATTTTGTCATTATGGGGTATTGTGTGTAGATTGATTAGGATTTTTAAATTACTTAATCCATTTTAGAATAAGGCTGTAACGTAACAAAATGTGGAAAAAGTGAAGGGGTCTGAATACTTTCCGAATGCACTGTATGTATGTATGTATGTAAATGTGTGTGTGTGTATGTACCTGTTGGATCATCTCTGGGTGTTGCTGCATGATGTGTAGGAAGCGGTCATCTGTTGCCATAGCTGCAGGTCGTTTCTTAGTGGAGCGAGACAGCTGAATAGAAATAACAATACATTTGATTCACATTCATATCAATACAGAACATACAGGTATAAGATCATATGAATAGATTATAGATATACATGGAGGCAGTTGTTACCTGTTTGAATAGGTAGGTGACAATGTGGTCCAGACTGGAACAACACCCAGTACACACCATGGTATCTATAACACAAACGTTAGTCACACATTCTTACTTCCATAGAAAATACAATATTTAACCATGTTTTGTTTGTGACCCAATGTGGCATGTGTGTGTATTTTTTCTAAGTTCTATAACATAAAATCTATTCTGATTTGTTTAACACTTTTTTGGTTACTACATGATTCCATGTGTTATTTTATAGTTTTGATGTCTTCACTATTATTCTACAATGTAGAAAATAGTAAAAAATAAAGAAAAACCCTTGAATGAATAGGTGTCCAAACTTTTGACTGGTACTGTGTGTACACACACACACACACACACACACACACACACACACACACACACAGTGCACTCGGAAAGTATTCAGACCCCTTCTCTATTTCCACATTTTATTACGTTACAGCCTTATTCTAAAATTGATGAAAAAATAAATAATTTAATCAATCTACACACAATACCCGATAATGACAAAGTGAAAACAGGTTTTTAGAAATTTTTGTAAATGTATTACAAATAAAAAACATAAATACCTTATTTACATAAGTATTCAGACCCTTTGCTATGAGACTCGAAATTGAGTTCAGGTGCATCCTGTTTCCATTTATCATCCTTGAGATGTTTCTACAACTTGATTGGAGTCCACCTGTGGTAAATTCAATTGATTGGACATGGTTTGGAAAGGCACACACCTGTCTATATAAGGTCCCACAGTTGACAGTGCATGTCAGAGCAAAACCCAAGCCATGAGGTCGAAGGAATTGTCCGTAGAGCTCCGAGACACAGGTGGACTCCAATCAAGTTGTAGAGACATCTGAAGGATGATGAATGGAAACAGGATGCACCTGAACTCAATTTCGACTGAAAGATATCACCCAGCTTGAAGGCTCTCCTCTCCCCTTGCAGAGCAGATGCCTGGCTATCAGGGGAATGGGGAAGATTGACTGTTTTTACTATGATTAGCGAGTTATGTAGTTTAGCGCAGCATTAGATACACACACATATACATATCTACACACAATACCCTATAATGACAAAGTGAAAAACATGTTCAGATTTTTTAGCAAATGTAAAGAAAATGAAATACTGAAATATCTAATTTACGGAAGTATTCAGACCCGAGTCAATACTTTGTAGAAGCACCTTTGGCAGCGATTACAGCTGAGTCTTTCTGGGTAAGTCCCTAAGAGCTTTCCACACCTGGATTGTGCAACATTTGCCCCATTATTCTATTCTTCAAACTCTATCAAATTGGTTGTTGATCATTGCTAGACAACCGTTCAGGTCTTGCCATAGATTTTCAATTAGATTTAAGTCAAAACTAACTTGGTCACTCAGGAACATTCACTGTCTTGGTAAGAAACTCCAGCGTAGATTTGGCCTTGTGTTTTAGGTTATTGTCCTGTTGAAAGGTGAATTCATCTACCAGTGTCTGGTGGAAAGCAGACTGAAACAGGTTTTCCTCTAGGATTTTGCCTGTGCGTAGCTCCATTAGGTTTATTTTTTATCCTGAAAATCTCCCCAGTCCTTAACGATTACAAGCATACCCATAACGCAGCCACCACTATACTTGAAAATATGGAGAGTGGTACACAGTAATGTGTTGTATTGGATTTGCCCCAAACATTACACTTCGTATTCAGGACATAAAGTTAATTGCTTTGCTACATCTTTTGCAGTATTACTTAAGTGCCTTGTTGCACACAGGATGCATGTTTTGGAATATATTTATTCTGTACAGGCATCCTTCTTTTCACGCTGTCAACTAGGTTAGTATTGTGGAGTAACTGACTGTTGTTGGCCCATCCTCAGTTCTATCACAGCCATTAAACTCTGTAAGTTAGGAAGGACGCCTGTATCTTTGTAGTGCCTTGGTGTATTGATACACCAGCCAAAGTGTAATTAATAACTTCACCATGCTCAAAAGGAATATTCAATGTCAGCTTTTTTTTTTTTACCCATCTACCAATATGTGCCCTTCTTTGCAAGACATTGGAAAACCTCCCTGGTGTTTGTGGTTGAATCTGTGTTTGAAATACAGTGCTCGACTGAGGGACCTTACAGATAATTGTATGTGTGGGGTACAGAGATGAGGTAGTCATTCAAATCATGCAAATGATTGTGACTTGTTAAGCACATTTCTACTCCTGAACTTATTTAGGCTTGCCATAAAGGTTTGAATACTTATTGACTCAATACATTTCAGCTTTTCATTTTTGATTAATTTGTTAACATTTCAAAAACATCATCCACTTTGACATTATGGGGGTATTGTGTGTAGGCCAGTGACCAAAAATCTCTATTTAATCCATTTTAAATTCAGGCTGTAACAAGAAAATGTGGAAAAAGTCAAGGGGTGTAAATATTTTCTGAAGGCACTGTATATTATTACCCAATGCTGTGTGGTGCAGTGTGTATATATATTACCCAGTGCAGTGAGTCCCTCGGAGATAGATGACAGTATGTACATGACGACATGCGGCTCTAGAGAAGCAATGAAGTTCATGTGATCCTGAGTCAACACCTCCAACAGACTGTAGAACGACTGGCTCAACTTGGGATAGTCCTGGAGGGAGGGAGGGAGGGAGGGAGAGAAAAAGACAGGAGAGATGGTGTAAGTGTGCTGGAACAACCATTGTCAGATTGAACATTGTAAATATACAGAGAAAAAGGTAGCTGTGAGGGATTGAGTGAGCGAGTGTGTGTGTGTGTGTATGTATCTACCAGCAGGTCACTGTGTGGTATTGACAGCAGCAGTTTGATGAAGGTTTGTAGTGCGTTGTCCAGTGCGTCATCTCCATAGAGACGGAACACCCCGAAATTGACGTAGTTCCCAGAGAGCACAGCCTTCAGCATGGAGAAACATACACTGACACCTTTCAGCTTCACACTGTACACCTGGTCCTTAGGCACCTCCCCAATGGTCAGGATACGATTACCTGGAGGAGGGGAGAGGGAGAACCAAGGAAATGAACATAAAATTGTGTGGCTGACCAGCCAATCACAATGCTCCTGTGAATAGCAACTGTTGCAATAGGACACAAATGTTTTACCATAGGTGGTGATCATCTTGCTGGTTTCTCTGAACAGCAGGATACCATTGGGCGACGACACGTCAAATTGTAACCTCTGTGACCTGGAAACAAACAGAGTTAGGGATTCATGTTCCCCCCCACCCAAAAAAAAAAAACAATCCCCAGAAAATTGCAAGCCTTTCCCGGGTATCCCGAGATTCTAGATCAAACCGGAAATGGTATCTAAAAGCATATAATATCAGCAGAGGGAAAATTGACAATTATACCACTGTAAATTGAGAAATAAACGCAGGAATCGAACAGTATTTTGTTGTATGTTGCAATTGAATCAACTCAAAGTTATTTCAAAGTCATCCTACTATTTCGTTGATGTAGCTTATAGTTTTAAATGTAGGCCTATGAAGCACTGTTGGCCAACTGGTAAAATATTTTGAGGTTATTACAGCTAGTGAAAATGACAGTGTCATTTTACCGTTGACTGAAAGATATCACCCAGCTTGAATGCTCTCCTCTCCCCTTGCAGAGCAGCTGCCTGGCTATCAGGGGAATGGGGAACATTGACTGTTTTTACTATGATAACTTGCTTATGTAGTGACTTTGTTTAGCGCAGCATTAGATACACACACACACACACATATATATATATATATACACACACACACACACACACACACAGTGGGGGGAAAAAGTATTTAGTCAGCCACCAATTGTGCAAGTTCTCCCACTTAAAAAGATGAGAGAGGCCTGTAATTTTCATCATAGGTACACGTCAACTATGACAGACAAATTGAGAGAAAAAACAATCCAGAAAATCACATTGTAGGATTTTTTATGAATTTATTTGCAAATTATGGTGGAAAATAAGTATTTGGTCACCTACAAACAAGCAAGATTTCTGGCTCTCACAGACCTGTAACTTCTTCTTTAAGAGGCTCCTCTGTCCTCCACTCGTTACCTGTATTAATGGCACCTGTTTGAACTTGTTATCAGTATAAAAGACACCTGTCCACAACCTCAAACAGTCACACTCCAAACTCCACTATGGCCAAGACCAAAGAGCTGTCAAAGGACACCAGAAACAAAATTGTAGACCTGCACCAGGCTGGGAAGACTGAATCTGCAATAGGTAAGCAGCTTGGTTTGAAGAAATCAACTGTGGGAGCAATTATTAGGAAATGGAAGACATACAAGACCACTGATAATCTCCCTCGATCTGGGGCTCCACGCAAGATCTCACCCTGTGGGGTCAAAATGATCACAAGAACGGTGAGCAAAAATCCCAGAACCACACGGGGGGACCTAGTGAATGACCTGCAGAGAGCTGGGACCAAAGTAACAAAGCCTACCATCAGTAACACACTACGCCGCCAGGGACTCAAATCCTGCAGTGCCAGACGTGTCCCCCTGCTTAAGCCAGTACATGTCCAGGCCCGTCTGAAGTTTGCTAGAGTGCATTTGGATGATCCAGAAGAGGATTGGGAGAATGTCATATGGTCAGATGAAACCAAAATAGACCTTTTTGGTAAAAACTCAACTCGTCGTGTTTGGAGGACAAAGAATGCTGAGTTGCATCCAAAGAACACCATACCTACTGTGAAGCATGGGGGTGGAAACATCATGCTTTGGGGCTGTTTTTCTGCAAAGGAACCAGGACGACTGATCCGTGTAAAGGAAAGAATGAATGGGGCCATGTATCGTGAGATTTTGAGTGAAAACCTCCTTCCATCAGCAAGGGCATTGAAGATGAAACGTGGCTGGGTCTTTCAGCATGACAATGATCCCAAACACACCGCCCGGGCAATGAAGGAGTGGCTTCGTAAGAAGCATTTCAAGGTCCTGGAGTGGCCTAGCCAGTGTCCAGATCTCAACCCCATAGAAAATCTTTGGAGGGAGTTGAAAGTCTGTGTGGCCCAGCGACAGCCCCAAAACATCACTGCTCTAGAGATCTGCATGGAGGAATGGGCCAAAATACCAGCAACAGTGTGTGAAAACCTTGTGAAGACTTACAGAAAACGTTTGACCTGTGTCATTGCCAACAAAGGGTATATAACAAAGTATTGAGAAACTTTTGTTATTGACCAAATACTTATTTTCCACCATAATTTGCAAATAAATTCATTAAAAATCCTACAATGCGATTTTCTGGATTTTTTTTTCTAATTTTGTCTGTCATAGTTGACGTGTACCTATGATGAAAATTACAGGCCTCTCTCATCTTTTTAAGTGGGAGAACTTGCACAATTGGTGGCTGACTAAATACTTTTTTCCCCCCACTGTATGTATGTATGTATGTATGTATGTATGTATGTATGTATGTATGTATGTATGTATGTATGTATGTATGTATGTATGTATGTATGTATGTATGTATGTATGTATGTATATGTATGTATGTATATGTATGTATGTATGTATATATATATATACACACACACACACACACACACACACGTATGTGGACACCCCTTCAAATGAGCGGATTCAGCCATTTCAGCCACACCCGTTGCTGACAGGTGTAGAATGGCCTTACTGAAGAGCTCAGTGACTTTCAACGTGGCACCATCATAGGATGCCACCTTTCCAACAAGTCAGTTTATCAAATCTCTGCCCTGCAAGAGCTGCCCCACTCAACTGTAAGTGCTTTTATTGTGAAGTGGAAACATCTAGGAGCAACAACGGCTCAGCCGCAAAGTGGTAGGCCCCACAAGCTCACAGAATGGGATCGCTGAAGCACGTAGCACGTGAAAATCATCTGTCCTCGGTTGCAACACTCACTGCAGAGTTCCAAACTGCCTCTGGAAGCAACGTCGGCACAATAACTGTTTGTCGGGAGGTTCACAAAATGTGTTTCCATGGCCGAGAAGCCGCACACAAGCCTAAGATCACCATGCGCAATGCCAAGCGTCGGCTAGAATGGTGTAAAGCTCGCCACCATTGGACTCTGAAGCAGTGGAAATGCGTTGTCTGGAGTGATGAATCACGCTTCACCATCTGGCAGTCCGACTGACAAATCTGGGTTTGGCGGATGCCAGGAGAATGCTACCTGCCCTAATGCATAGTGCCAACTGTAAGGTTGATGGAGGAGGAATAATGGTCTGGGGTTTTTCATGGTTCAGGATAGGTCCCTTAGTTCCAGTGAAGGGAAATCTTAATGCCACAGCATACAATGTCATTCTAGATGATTCTGTGCTTCCCATACAGTTGCCACAAAGTTGGGACGGCCCGTTCCTGTTTCAGAATGATAATGCCCCCGTGCACAAAGCGAGGTCCATACAGAAATGGTTTGTCGAGAACTTGACCGGACTGCACAGAGCCCTGACCTCAACCCCATCGAACACCTTTGGGATTAATTAGAACACCGACTGCGAGCCAGGCCTAATCGGCCAACATCAGTGCCCGACCTCACTAATGCTTGTGGCTGACATCTAGTTTAAAGCCTTCCCAGAAGAGTGGAGGCTGTTATAGCAGCATAGGGGGGGGGGGGGGGGACCAACTCCATATTAATGCCCATGATTTTGGAATGAGAAGTTAATGTAGTGCATGTTCCCTGTGACAGACAAGCAAAGTGTCAAATAGTACCAATAGCATAAAATCAGCACCATGGACAGCTGTCGATCAATTCCCAGTGAATCTGACCTTATAGTCAAGCCAGTGCTATCGCTTGTGTTAGTGTAACATGGACATGGAAACATTTTGTGAATGTCTATTTTCTTGAGAACTTTTGCAGACACAATGCATTAGGCATTTTGTTAGCAGTGAGCAACTGCAGTTTCTATTTTCGAGCCTCTGTAGTGCAACACAGCTGAAGTTTGGGAGTACTTTGAATGAACAAACTGTAGAGGAGCAATTTGGGATGGGAATTATCTACCGTGACTGCGTCGAGAGGTCGCATGTAGCAGTACATAGAAGTTATAGAAGCCATGTAGACTCTTTCTATTGGGGACTTTGTGTTGAGTATCCTAAATAAAGGTAGGCTTCTAGCGTTGCACATTTTGTATTTTTGCATTAGTGTGACATAATACACTTTTCTAACTCTAGAAAATCGATATTATTGTTCCAGAGTTCCTATTTTAAAAAATGCAGGAATCGGGAAAGGAGCTTGGTCAGGAAACCGGCGTTAAAGATGAAATCCGCAGTTTGGGAAAGCAGTGCCAATTCACCCCCCCCCCCCCCTCCCCCCTCCCCCCTCCCCCCTCCCTTACGGCTGTTATCATTTTTGTTTTGTTGACAAAGCAGAGTTGGGGAGAGTTGCGCATTGTTATAAAAAAATGTGCAGTACATATACTGCTGTTCTATCACGCATGCAATGATGTCAGAGGGGAAGAAACTGTTCGTTGTTTGCAGTAACTTCATTGTGATATGACAAACGGACATGCCAGTTTCACCATTAAGGTTTCCAGCTTTAATCCCTGCACAGGGTTAGAGGTCAGCGGTTAGAGGTCGAGGGAGAAGTGTCAGGGTACTGGTAGCATTGCACATTTTGATTTCTGCATTAGTCCAACATAGAAATTGTATATATTTGTTCTAGTTCCCGTAATTTTTTCCCCCTCGGAAATTGGGGAGGCACTTGGTCGGACAATCAGGTTAGAGGTGTGTGCATGTTCATGTACCTGTTGTGGACGAGCTCAGCCATGAGCTTTAGGACAGGAGTGGTGCATGCTGGTACGTGGTACCAGAGTTCTATGGCTCTCTGCAGAATGGGCATGTAGGCTGGGTAGCTGGGGGAGGGGTTAAGGACAACACTGTCGACCAATGACACTCCCTGCTTCTAGTAAAGGACAACACTTTGCCAATCACAACTCTTCTGCTACAGTGATGGTACAGTGATTCCCTATTCTACGACAGACAGTCATATCTCTTCTAGACAATGCATTCCTAACATTCTGTTACCTTGCAACCTCCTAAATCCTGGTCAGTAAAGGTCAGGTTAAAGGACAGGATTGAGAGTGTATAGAGGTCTGGGGTCATCCAGAGGTGAAGGATACATCCAGTCGAAGAGCATCATGAAGCTGGTCTTGGCGTTGAAGGCAAATGCGATTCCTCTCAGGTCTCTGACCAGCCCCACCAACGTCCTCTTGGCCTCCTGCTCGTTGAACGTGTTGGTGCTGAACATCTGAGCTACCGCTTCAAATGCCGCCGTCAGGGGCAGCATGAACTGTTCAAACTGGTCCTCATCCTCACCTACACACACATGAAAAGGTAAAAGAATGAAAGTTTGTAATTATCCAAATAAGAAAATAAAATCACTGATAATTGTGTAGATAGGTGTGTGTGTGTCTACCTAGGTCGACCATCAGCAGACGTCCCAGTGCGGTGTAGAATGTGGTGCGGCATCTCATGTCGCTGAGGTTTGATTGGTTGTTCACGCCCAGGAAGGAGAAGTGCTCGCTCTGACATAGGAGAAAAGCAAAGGGCATTACGGGAAAATAACTGGATCAAGAAGCATAAATTGAGTTTCAGGCGGTTAGGGTTAGGGATCAAAGGTCAGGGTTCTTACTGTGTGGTTGTTCAGCATGAACTGAACAGCGCTGAGTTTCACCAACTTCCTCACACTGCTGTATGTACACACACACAGTCAAGGAGACAACACAGGAGCTGGAATATAACAGAATACCAAACCCCCCCCCCCCCCCCTTCACACACACGGTAAAGGATATCCTATGGAGAGGTCGTTGAGTAACTGAAGTGTCTTGGAGGTGATCGGTTCACACTGGCCCCAGTACTTCAGATTGGTGATGCTGCAATCACAAATGGTAATCAATCAATCAGTCGTTACTTCATAGTACCAGTACTAGTAACAATACCGCAGTAAACTCACATTTTTCCGATGAAGACGCTGAGTACCATTGTCTCATCATTCAGCCCCAGAACCTCTGACAGCCGCCGGTACAGCTGGGACACACACAGACACACATCATTAACCATTGGAACATCCCCCTGGAGAGAGAGCAGCTACACAGCTAAAGTAGGAGAGAACTATGATATAATCATCTGCTAGCAGCGTGACACCAGCCATACATCTCCACAGGGTTAAAGACGGAAACACACGCACCCATCAGCTCTGCTCTCATCTCCCCAGCATGGCCGTACATTCCACCACAGCTCTGAGGTCTATTAGTGTGTGAGGTAGAGGTGAGAAAATGCCTTTGTGAACTAACACACGCACTTGACTTTTTTTCCCCCTTACTAGCTCTGACTTTGCTGATAGCTACTTTATTTAGGAAAATGTACTTAGATTTTTTTGTTACATTACAGCCTTATTATAAAATTGATTAAATTGTTTTCCCCCCTCAATCTACACACAATACCCCATAATGACAAAGCAAAAACAAGTTTAGACATTTTTGCTAATGTATATAAAAGAAAAAACAGAAATATCACATTTACATAACTAAATCAGACCATTTCCTGAGTACTTTGTTGAAGCACCTTTGAAAGCGTTTACTGCCTCGAGTCTTCTTGGGTATGACGCTACAAGCTTGGCACACCTGTATTTGGGGTGTTTCTCCCATTCTTCTCTGCAGATCCTCACATGCTCTGTCAGGTTGGATGGGGAGCGTCACTGCACAGCTATTTTCCGGTCTCTCCAGAGATGTTCGATCGGGTTCAAGTCTGGGCTCTGGCTGGGCCACTCAAGGACATTTAGAGACTTGTCCCGAAACCACTCCTGCGTTGTCTTGGCTCTGTGCTTAGGGTTGTTGTCCTGTTGGAAGGTGAACCTTCGCCCCAGTCTGAGGTCCTGAGTGATCTGGAGCAGGTTTTCATCAAGGATCTCTCTGTACTTTGCTTCGTTCATCTTTCCCTCGATCCTGACTAGTCTCCCAGTCCCTGCCGCTGAAAAACATCCCCACAGCATGATGCTGCCACCACCATGCTTCACCGTAGGGATGGTGCCAGGTTTCCTCCAGATGTGACGCGTGGCATTCAGGCCAAAGAGTTCAATCTTGGTTTCAACAGACCAGAGAATCTTGTTTCTCATGGTCTGAGAGTCCTTTAGGTGCCTTTTGGCAAACTCCAAACGGGCTGTCATGTGCCTTTTACTGGCCACGCTACCATAAAGGCCTGATTGGTGGAGTGCTGCAGTGATGGTTGTCCTTCTGGAAGGTTCTCCCATTTCCACAGAGGAACTCTGCTCTGTCAGAGTGACCATCGGGTTCTTGGTCACCTCCTTGACCAAGGCCCTTCTCCCCCGATTGCTCAGTTTAGCCGGGCGGCCAGCTCTTGGAAGAGTCTTGGTGGTTCCAAACTTCCTCCACAGTGTTTTTGGGGACCTTCAATGCTGCAGACATTTGTTGGTACCCTTCCCCAGATCTGTGCCTCAACACAATCCTGTCTCGGAGCTCTACAGACAATTCCTTTGACCTCATGGCTTGGTTTTTGCTCTGACATGTACTGTCAATTGTGGGACCTTATATAGACAGGTGTGCCTTTCCAAATCATGTCCAATCAATTGAATTTACCAATCAAGTTGTAGAAACAATCAAGTTGTAGAAACATCTCAAGGATGAGCAATGGAAACAGGATGCACCTGAGCTCAATTTCAAATCACATAGCAAAGGGTCTGAATACTTATGTAAATAATGTATTTCTGTTTTGTCATTATGGGGTATTGTGTGTAGATTGATGAGGAAATGTTTTTATTTAATCCATTTTAGAATAAGGCTGTAACGTAACAAAATGTGGATAAAGGGAAGGGTTCTGAATACTTTCCGAATGCACTGTATGTGGTTGTCCAACTTAGCTATCTTAAGATGAAATCACTAACTGTAAGTAGCTCTGGATAAGAGCGTCTGCTAAATGACTAAAATGTCAAATTAAAATGTGAGGTAGAGAGTGTGTGAACTCAAGAGTGTGTGTGTGTGTGTGGTAGTAGAGTTAAGTTGAGCAGAGCTGAAGGTGGTTTGCCTAAGTAGCGGGCGGGTTAGAGTGAGGGGTGTCATAGAGAGGGGTATGTATCACCTGCTGGTCTGGATTGTTCTTTATTCTGACAGTTCAGACTCATATGGTCCATCTCACACATACACACCCTGAAATATCAAGATATTCCAGAGCTCTCATCATATGAATTATTCTAGAACTCCACCCCACTTCCATTGGGACCGTTCTGGCTAGCCATGTTAACAGTAACACTGACCATGTCACTAGGAAGGGGTAAGGGAGGATTACTATAACACCAAACAGACATGTAAGGGGGGGCTGCTCGCTCTACTGATGCCACTTATCTGGGCTGTTCACATTTTGCAGCCTCTGCCCAGCACAAAGAAAAAACAGTCAGTCAGTCAGCCCAAGTTGTATTGCAGAAAGGCTGTTTCTGCACTAACACACCCACAGACAATGCAGCCTTGGACAAAAGAGCTGCTAGTTCAAATTTAACACATAACTCTCACTAGTCTAAGAGAGGGAGGGAGGGAGGGAGGGAGGGAGGGAGGGAGGGAGGGAGAGATTAAACAGAGTTAGTCAAACATTTAATAGGATTGGATAAACTGTATTGTCGAGGCTTGGGCGGTGTCCAGATTTTCATATCGTCATAGCACACAAGGGGGCGCAAAGAACGCAAGAAAAGCCCATTGGGCATCTATTACCAGAATGCTAACAACATTAGCACAAACGAATAGCGAAACCACAGACGCTGTTAACTAAATGCTAACAAGTGAAAACGAAAATAAACTAATTGCAATGACAGGCAAATACAGCTCATAAAGTTATACAATTATAGCTACCGAATGTCATTTTCGGTGAGTGTGGACATTGACAAGCGAAGGTGAATGAGAGAAATTGTGCAAATGAACAAAGTTGTGATGCATGCTTTTCTGAAGAGATATAGATAGATATAGAACACTACGGACACCAGCTCGCTTTCTCCCATTGTGCTATTTACAAACAAACACGTGACTGGCTCAACTGTTCTGGGGAACTACGGTAAAGCTTCACAATGTAAAATAATGTGACAGGTGAAATGAAGAAAGCAATCTGATTTATCTCCTAACGTATTGCACAAGTTGACTGCAGGTATTAACTTAAAAAGTAGCTACAAATATTCAAATGTATTGAAAAACTGCAAATAAATAGTTTTGACGGTATTGAAAAAACAAATATCCTGGTATACGGTACATGCGGTATGCCGCTCAAGCCTAGTATTGTCCCCGGCGGGGGACATTGTCCTAGACACAGTACTGCTGTGGATCATCTCAACATTAGATCACGTTTGAGGTCTGAAGCATAACAGTGTGTGTGTGTGCGCGGTAACAGTAAAAGTATTTACCTTGGAGGACTTTTGCACCTGATCTCCGATGTAGATTTTCCTGAACTGTTCGAAGAAGCTGAGCATGGCCAACTCCAACCGCTCGTTACCTGCCTGGGCCAGCCGCGAGTCCGTTAGGTTCATCAACTGGAGCACCCTGAGACAACACACACACTGTGATTGATTCATCTGCTGCAACATCGGTAGTAGGGCTGTCCCCCACAACAACAACAAATATTGGCCGACCGAGAGCTGCCCTGTTCTTTCGACCAACCAATTGGTCGAAACATTTAAACTTATTTTTCCCATATATTGACAGACACACCCTATATGTTTGAATAAAATCAAATACATATGCACTGAGCTTGTCTGATGCTTTAAGCACACTGTTTGATTAAATAAGACACAAATGACTCAAGAAAGAGCCCGATGGTCACACCGTGTTAAAAGAAATGCGAGTGCCTATGTGACTGGCGCACGGTGTCTCGCTCTCCTCCCTACTGCAGTGAAAAGGCACCACAGCACAGCAAGTGTTTATTGCGCTGTCCATGCTGAAGCTGCAACATAATTTCAGCCATTTAGTTTCTTACTTGTTTCTGACTGAAATCCCTCTTTTGTTTAGGAAGAACATTCCCTATTCCCTCAACCCTTGCTCTCTTTACGTGAAATATGTAAGCATCGCATGCATGTGACCAATAGGCTATCATAATCAGATCAATAAATTGGTTATAATAGTGAAGACATCAAAACTATGAAATAACACACATGGAATCATGTAGTAACCAAAAAAGTGTTAAACAAATCAAAATAGATTTTATATTTGAGATTCTTCAAATAGCCACCCTTTGCCTTGAGGACAGCTTTGCACACTCTTGGCATTCTCTCAACCAGCTTCATGAGGTAGTCACCTGGAATGCATTTCAATTAACAGGTGTGCCTTCTTAAAAGTTAATTTGTGGAATTTATTTCCTTCTTAAACTGAGCCAATCAGTTGTGTTGTGAAAAGGTAGGGGGGGTATACAGAAGATAGCCCTATTTGGTAAAAGACCAAGTCCATATTATGGCAAGAACAGCTCAAATAAGCAAAGAGAAACGACAGTCCATCATTACTTGATACGTAAAAGTCAATACGTAACATTTCAAGAACTTTGAACGTTTCTTCAAGTGCAGTCGCAAAAACACCATCAAGCAGTATGATGAAACTGTCTCTCATGAGGACCACCACAGGAATGGGAGACCCAGAATTATCTCTCATGCAGAGGATAAGTTCAATAGAGTTACCAGCCTCAGAAATTGCAGCCAAAATAAATGCTTCGCAAAGTTCAGGTAACAGACACATCTCAACATCAACTGTTCAGAGGGAACTGTGTGAATCAGGCCTTCATGGTCGAATTTCTGCAAAGAAACAACTACTAAAGGACACCAATAAGAAGAAGAGACCTGCTTGGGCCAAGAAACACGAGCAATGGACATTAGACCGGTGGAAATGTGTCCTTTGGTCTGGAGTCCAAATTGGAGATTTTTGGTTTGAACTGCCGTGTCTTTGTGAGACGTGGTGTGGGTGAACGGCTAATCTCTGCATGTGTATTTCCCACCGTAAAGCATGGAGGATGAGGTATTATGGTGCGGGGGTGCTTTGCTGGTGACACGGTCTGTGATTTATTTAGAATTCAAGGCACACTTAACCAGCATGGCTACCACAGCATTCTGCAACAAGGCTGTGTAAGGGCTATTTTACCAAGAAGGAGAATGATGGACTGCTGCATCAGATGACCTGGCCTCCACAATCCCCCGACCTCAACCCAATTGAGATGGTTTGGGATGAGTCGGACGGCAGAGTGAAGGAAAAGCAGCCAACAAATGTGGGAACTCCTTCAAGACTGTTGGAAAAGCATTCCAGGTGAAGCTGGTTGAGAGAATGCCAAGAGTGTGCAAATCTGTCATCAAGGCAAAGGGTGGCTATTTGAAGAACCTCAAATCTATTTTGATTTGTTTAACACTTTTTTGGTTACTACATGATTCCATGTGTTATTTCATAGTTTTGATGTCTTCACTATTATTCTACAATGTAGAAAATAGTAAAAATAAAGAAAAACCTTTGAATGAGTAGGTGTTCTAAAACTTTGAACTGGTAGTGTATATACTACCGTTCAAAAGTTTGGGGTCACTTAGAAATGTCCTTGTTTTCGAAAGAAAAGCAATGTTTTTGTCCATTAAAATAACATCAACATGTTCGGATCACAAAGAAGAACATTTGTGAGACGCAGACCAAATGAAAAGATGCTGGAGGAGTGCTTGATGCCATCTGTCAAGCATGGTGGAGGCAATGTGATGGTCTGGGGGTGCTTTGGTGGTGGTAAAGTGGGAGATTTTTACAGGGTAAAAGGGATCTTGAAGAAGGAAGCTATCACTCCATTTTGCAACGCCATGCCATACCCTGTGGACGAATGAGTAGGTGTGTCCAAACTTGACTGGTACTGTATATGGATGATTTATAAAGCCAGCCACATTTAACAGTTAGGCTATTGATTTTAGGCCTAATTACATTGGGGCTTCCTCTCTCCTCAATTTTCTTAGACAATTAGGTTAAGGGAAGGGCTGTTTCCCCATCTCTGCTGCTGCTGCCTCCGCCGCATTGTTCTCAATCCCAATATGCTGGTTAACTTTTTAATTATGCACATAGCAACATAGGGAAAGGCAACAATTCTACGGCGCACCGAATATTATTTTTCAGACCGCGGACAGCGACCGTATCCAACGCGGGAGAAAGCGCACTTGTTATAAAATAATATTTGATTTATTAGTGTTGCACCAATATTTTTTACAGCCTATCGACCAATCGACTAAATGGGGTCAGCCCTAATCCGGAGGTATATTTACAATAGGATATATAGGTGGCGGTATTGGTTAGGGTGAGGTTACTTGTGTGTGGACGTACCGACAGACTAGTTCTCCGTCCATGGCATCTTGTTCATCTGTGGAGGCGAAGGACACTCTTCCTCCAATGACCGCCCCGATTATATACACCAACCATGTTAACCTTCCTGTAGAAATATAAATATATACAGCAACAATAGCAACCTGCGTGGTAACAAAAAAATGTTTGTTAAAAGCGCTATATTTTCACATATTTCTTTGATTGATTGATAGAGAGACAGCGAGACTCACCCTCCTGGACAGTGATGTCGATGGTACTAGAGTTGGTAGACTGCAGTAGTTCCTGGTAGGTCTGTGCTGATTGGTCGAAGAGCTGGACCAATAGGGCACAGGTCTTCTCGTATTCACAGCGACCGATTGTAGAGAGCTGGTCTAACTGCTGCTGGACTAACCCTGCGTCATCTAGAGGGTCCTCAAGCCCATCCCTACACCCAAACACGTGAAAATGGTTTCAAAGTTCCACAATTTGACCTGTGAGTGTGAGAGTGTTAGAGTGAGAGAGAGTTACCTGAGGATGATGCAGACAGACTCGAGGCGTGAGGTGATGTAGGCCTTGGTGACTTCAGGTGTGTATGTCTCTAGGAGGTGAGGCTCGGTGGCTTTAACATAAGGGACCGACGCTGCCAGGCGCTGCCACAGGCTCAACAGGTAGTGGACAGAGTTAGGGGCAAACTCCCAGTGCTGGAACACACACAATGTAAAAGGTTAACATACAACAATGACAATCTTTTTCTGATATATCAGTAAGGAGGAAAAGGTTTTCGGCAGAACATTAACGCTTGCATCTAACATACCATCCCACCCCACACACAAGTGACATGACTAAGGCATATGAGCTCGGGGTGAGTGCGCACACACACAGTACCTGTAGACTGGTGACAGTAAAGTTGGCTATAAGCCTGATGACTTCTGGGTAGTTTTCTACTTTGACCAGCTCTCCTAGCTGGTAGTTACTCTTCAGTCGCGCCAACAGACGACAAAACTCATGGTAGTTGTTAGGGTCTGAGAGGCTCTGGAACACACAAGCACAGCATTGTTGGTTGCGGCACATGATGTGGTATCATAGAGATATGGTTCAGCAAGAAAAAGGGAGAACATCATTTGACACAGCACAGGGTCATGTAACATGCAATAGTGTGTGTGTAATACCTGTGGGTTCTCTAGTATCCTCTTGACTCCGTCCACCAGGTGAGAGAGGAACTTGGCTCGCTCTGCGTTGTTGAACAGAGACCTCCTCACTGACGCTATCTGGACTAGACACGACAACACCTACACACACACACCATTAAACACTACACCCATTCTGTACTGAAGTGAACATACTAGACACACACACACATTCAGCTTAACTCACCAACGGGGAGAGGGAGGGAGGGATGGAATGATACAAATCAAAAAAGAGCTGGAGCGTGGAAGAATCCAAAAACGCTGTGAGAGAAAGAGACAGACAGATTAGCTTACTACACAGTAATGGGTGGCACCGTACTGCTATTTTACAGAAATGGGAGAACGCGTTACCTGATCTCCAGGAGGTGGGGATCTGAACAGTGCAGAGGTCATCAGAGGACTCGTCTGTGGACGTTCCGATGAAGTCATAGTTCAGACAGTTGTGACTGAGCTTCAGCAGCTGCATCAGCAGACCATGCTGACTCTCATCATTCAGGTTCAGGTTCTTACCCGACGCCTAGACACACACACGTTTAGTTCCCAAGAACGACTGGAAATGGATGTCAATAGGTATGTCAACACGTTAATACAATCTCTCTCACACACACACAGGCTGCTGCTGCTACTAAGACTACTGCTCCTACCACCACCACTAAACACACACACCTGTTTGAGGAGATTGCAGGACAGGGTGAATATGTCGAAGAGGGACGAGTCTCTGAACGATGAAGCAATCTTCCTGTGTTTGGTCAGAGGGTGGCTGGTGTCTGCCTGTACACACAACAAACACAGATTTTACTCACACACACACAACACCACCACCATTTTAGATTAGAGGAGAGAAGGGGAAATAAGAGGAGAGAGATGTGGAGTAGAGGGAGGAGAGGTAGTGTACCTGGTTGATCTCGTTGGTCAGTTGGGATAGGATGGTGACTCCTATGATGCAGTGTTCTACACTGTCCTGCTGACAGATAGAGAGACAGGCAGATTCGATCAGCTCACTACTACCTACTTCAAGAAAACTCATTCTATTGGCTAAAACACATTCTATTGGCAACACAGACACACACGTCTGTACCTGTAGGAAGCGTGTGACGTCTGCGATGACGTTTCTGAAGACATAGTCGTCTTTCTGACAGTCGAACCAGCCAAGCTTGGTGATCCTGGAGGAGACAAACACAAGGAGAGAATAACTCACATGGAGGAGAGAGAGATGAGGAGAAGAGAGGACGAGAGGGGAGCGGAGAGAGGTTTACCTGGAGTACAGCTGGATCAGAGCCTGGGTAACAAACTCTGCCAACTTCGGCCGCGTCGCCAGATAGTTCAGCACATAGTTCCCTGTACGCACACACACACAGATATGAGCCTTATGAACTGACTTGTTGAGCATGAATATAGACTGCTGCAATGTGTGCGACTGAGTCTTACGGATGTCGATGCGCTGCTCTAAGGGAAGAGGGTTGCTGGTGCGCGATACCAGTTTAGACAGACAGGTAGCTGCAAGGAGCTGAGAGTAGGAAGACTAGAGAGAGAGAGCGAGAGAGAGAGGGGAATATGGGAATACAGGCATAGACAGAAGGAGACACCGCAACATCAGCTAAGCTTTTTTTCCATCAAGTAATCATGTAAATATCAACAGTTTATTGATATAGCGTCAGTGTGTGTACTACTCACGCTGCCTCTCTCCAATAGTAGCTGACACTTGCTGAGACAGTCGGGGCTGTTAGTGAACTCCACCAGAGCTTTCTCTGCCTGCAGCCTCACCCCCGTCTCTGTTGTCTCGTACAGCTGCTTACACAGGATCTCTAGCTGGGCTAGGCTCTACTCACACACACACAGGGGAGAGAGAGACATGAAGTGAGTAGAGCACCAACAACGTCCCATGTCAACAGCCAGGAGACAGGTGTATAGGTGTCGACAGGTGTATTGGGCTGTGTTCAGTACGGCACAACGATGTAGAACGTTCAGACAGAAATAAGACAGACTGCAGCCTATTCCACACAACAGACATGCCTCGCTCTCATTTTTACAATGAGGAGAAAGTTGACCAAAATAAACATTCAGTAGCGCCCTATTGAACGTGCCCCTCGTTAGATAGAAACACAGGGGCTAGACACCAGACAGACATAGTAGTGGTTATAGGGGCTGGGTGGGGCAGACACCAGATAGTTAACTAACCATTGACCCACACTAACTAACATACTAACTAAATCCATCCACCTACCTGACACTAAATCCACCAGTAACATTGAGCAGATTCTGCAGAATCCCGGAGCTAGTCTGATGCTAGCTACTGATATAGTAAAGGATGTACTAGTATAGACAGGGTGGGTGCCACATGGCTTGGGAGAAGAGGACTGCTACACATAGATAAGAGCTCAATACCCCAACACTGCTGCTGCTGACACACACAGTGCGCACACACCTACTAATATTGCTCCTACGACTACACAGTCCTGATGCTGTGTAGTACATAGCTGGCTAAGGATGTGGGCTAGCTAGATCATGAAGTCATACAGGTTCCTGAGAACCCTGTCAAGATCTAATGTTCTGGGCAGGCCAAAATAGAATGTGCGTGTCTAGAGCGTGCCACGTGTGTGTTTGTGTGTCGTGCTGTGCTGTGCATGATGACTTTGCAATAAGAGACAGTTACATCACACGGTCAGGCATCATGACCAGCAAGTGCATCCCTCAGTGCGAATGCATCTGTAGTAATTATTGATAAGCTATCTATCCGGGTATCTCACGAGCCTGCTAAGCTAAAGTTACCTAAATACTGACACCACAGATCTCTAAATAGTGTATTTCTATGTACAGAATTAACAACATTGGAGGGGTGATGACAATTTAATCAACACATAGGTAGCTACATAATAAACTGCCCGACTTAGCTAGCAACAAAATAATTAGCCAGGTACTCTGTTGCATCAGCAGTGTAGCTGGCTAAGTTAAGTAGTCACCGACAGCTTGAGGTTACTATAAACCCAAAGAGTAGCTATGGAGAGCTTGAGGCAGATATAAACTGTAAGACTTTTCTGTAATTTCAACAGAAACACTGTAGAATGCACAGTAAAATACAGTAAATGTGTTTTACAGTATTAAACACTGACTGCATAATGGGTAAAATTATGAAAAATACTGTTATTAACTAATTGGAAGCCTCTGGTAAAAATTACTCTAACATGCTGTATTTCTTTTTAGTAATAACTTATGCCTACTGTAGATTCAAATGTTCAGTTTCAGGTGACAATCTCATGCTGTCGGGTAAGACATTTTTAGTAAATATCTTTTTGAAGTGGCTGTGAAGTGGAATAATATTTTCAGCAGCTGCTAGATTGACTTGTTTATAAGTATCTTTATTGCTAGCCGACTTTCAATTACTGCATGTTTTCTTAGCTAACCAAGCTAGCTAGCTGGCTAACGTTGCCACAAGCCATTTCGGTCTGCTCTAAATTGCTCGTCAATATCTTGCTGAGCAACCTAGAAAAACATCACCCAGATAATAATTGTTGTGATGATGATAGGCTTCGCTGTACAACAGCTTCTGAGTGCAATAGAGAATACACACGAGTGCAGATAATGTTTTCGCCATTAGTATAGAGAAATGTCCTTGTTTCTAGCAGTTCAAAAGATATGACCCATATTACCGGCACAACAGGTTTTTCGGATTGACGTACTCACGACCCTGGGCAGCTGTAGCCCATCACAGTGTCGCCGGCTGTAGTTAACATGGGATTTTTTTTTATTCTTCCAGGATTATATTTCAAGTAGGATAGCAGCTTAAACAATAAATAACTCATATTGGTAGCCATCTAGATGTCACCTTGATATAGTCTACTCAATGGGGAGAGCATGAACGGCAACAACAACGTTGTTAATTTAAACATTGTTCCATAATGTTACAGTATTAGCTAAACCTGTTCACTTTACCAGTAGTACGTAAACATTTGGTGGCACAGAAAGAAAGGAAAAGGTTGTGAATCTGGTAAAATAATCAGTGGCATTGTGTAGGCCAGGGCTCTCCAACCCTGTTCCCGGAGAGCTACCGTCCTATAGGTTTTCATTCCAACCCTAATCTAGCGCACCTGACAGGGTTCCCTTAGGAAAATTTGGCGCCGGACAACGTGACCGGCAAGATTTAAATTGACCAGACACTTGAGAAATTTACCGGACATCCATATGCATTGGGTGCGTAACGCCTTAGGGCGTCCACTCAGTGCTCAAAATCACATTTAGATTATTGTAATTCATCTTAACAGAATATAAATTAACCTGTTAAGTTTTGATAAAATAAAGTATACTAACATGACAGGTTTGATTGAAAAGCAAAACATTGCCAGTTGCATCTTCATCCCTACTATAAATCATAAACGAATATAATTGAAAGAAAAACCTTTAGCCTAGAAGAACAAGTTGCCTACACAGTAATAAAACAATGTCCAAATATAATATCTGTAAAATATAATTTGCAAACGACCTGTCCTATAGGCTATTTGTATGAACAAAACACAGATGTTTTAAAATACAATCTAGTCCTCTCCAATTTAATTTAGTCTAGGCCTGAACATTTTAATTAGGCCTAATAAATAACAAAACATGGCTGTCTAAGAACATCTGGGCCGGCCCGCCCCACTCCCGCTGCGATTCAGCACCACAGCAGTGGAAGGAGGCCACTCTAGACAGCCACAAAATGAAGAAATTATAAAACTGAGGTTGGACAATCAAATTAGATATGTAAATAAACAAATGTAGTTAAGGCTGGTTCATTGAGAGAAAGCTTATTGTACAATGCTCCTGTGAAACAGCCAGAGCCATGTATTTATGAAAGCACTTGTCTCCAATGCTCCAATGATATCTCACTCTTTTTACACTTCTACTGAGTGATGTTAATAAATGTTATGTTTATTGTAATTTGAACTATCCTGGGGTCTTGACTCGTGTAATGTGTGATATACGTGGCATATTGATAACTCTGTTTCCTACTATAGGCAGTTGGCTGCCTAGTGATTGCAACATTGTAACTCTCCGATGTGAATAGTTGGCAACGATGTTTCGTTTCCAAGTGCTACTGAATAAGCGCAACTGAAATTAACCAATTGCACACGATACACATCATTACTCGACTCTATCAATCCATTCCAAATATTTATACATGACACGGGGGCAACATATGCTGATCTTGCCTAGGGCAGCAGCAGACCTGCTAGGACCGGGCCTGACGAACACAATAATTTGCCTCTAATTTACTTGCATTTGCGGCAGACCTTGGCTTGGTCAAAGTGCATCGCTGCTGTTGGGAAGTCAAAACTGTCCAACTCCTTGGAGCAGCTTGCAGCCTCTTTACTTTGTCCTCAATAAGGCGCGATCTTGACTCTGGTCTTTACTCTGTTTTGGAGAAAGAAACCCCTCTCAGCAGGTACACTGGAAACAGGGATAATCAACAAAATCTTCGCCAATTTTGGAGCACATCAACTGGTATTTCCATCTGCCAGACAATTTGGCCGGCAACAATTTTATCGACTTTTCATTTATTTATTTTTAAATCGGCCAAAAGCAGGCATTTACCATCTGACGGAAATTCTGGCACCTGATTTGAATAATTAGCTGGTTGATCAGCTGCATCAAGTAAGTTACAACTGGGGTTGGAGCGAAAAACTACAGGAGAGTAGCTCTCCAGGAACAGGGTTGGACAGCCCTGGTGTAGGCTATACCAATGTTTTATTAGTTAGCTAGGGTTCGAAGCAGGTGTATCTAGCCGTCTTATTTGTTCAATGCCTCAATTGATTTCATAAACTATATTGGATATATGCTGTAGGTTCGAAGCAACCCAAGATGATGAACACTGAAGATGGGACAATGTGCATGACAAGGTGGCCCAGAGGAAGCCAGCTGTTCTCAACCACTACATTGCCCCATTCGTCCAAGAGCTCACTGAGTTTGAATGAATACCTCTAGTGAGGTGCAAGTACACACACAACACCAACTTGATATGTCCCTTGTCACCTGTCTTTATACCCACAGTGCTGTCATTCTATTAATGTATTTTTCTATGCTTGTCCTAGGGGTGAGAAGAGCTGACAAATCAGAACTGAGGATGATTGTTATGGAGCCCCATGAGGATCACCTGATGCTGCGCTGACTTCTCTCTCCTGCCCAAACTTTCCCGTTCTGTTTCACCGCCTCTGAACCCCCTTACCCCAAATATAGTTGCCCCTGACAGACCTAGGATTGTACCCAATCCCAATTTTAACTCCATCTCCCTCACCAATATAGTTTTTCAATTAGTGTTGTAATGATGCTCTTATTTGGTTACATGTGTTAACTGTTGTTACTTCTATTGCCAATTCTGTTAATTTGTTGTTACCAATTAGAATAAATACATTTTATGTACAAATGTATTGTTCATCTTACATTTTGATTTCAAGGACAATTTCACCAGAGTTGCCAGCTTAAAACTGTAATTTTGCTTTACAGCAAAGATGCTGTAATTCATTTCACAGTACTATTTTCCTTACTGTAAAACATTACAGCATCCCTCTAAATGTACAGCAGGGTTGAGGTAATATGTTTTGCAGTATGGGAAATAGTACTGTAAAATATTTTACAGCATCTCTGCTGTAAAGCAAAATTAAAGTATTAAGCTGGCAACTCTGGTGCCAGTATAATGCTGTACATTTACAGGGAAACATTGTACAATGTAGTTAATCTATTCATTGCTTGAGGTGTCAGCTGTAAGTGCTACCTAATGTCCATGGTACAAGGCGTCCACATGACAGCTCTACACAGCCAGCATTCCAGCTACAAGCTAGTTATGTAGAATTGGCTGGAAAGTGGGCTAGTTGTGCAAGGTAAATGTTAGCTGTTTTGTTAATGCTATGCTCCATGCCAGAGTTAGTTAGCTATTCGTGTCAGTTTCGCAATGGAACATTATTGTTCTGGTTGCAAAATATGCACGGTGTGGTTTAAGTAGCCAACTAACAACAATGCACGAGCTGTCTAGCTAGCTACATTCCAGCTCACAGCGTGTAAAAACTCAATGATATTTCGAACGGGATAGCGCGGGAGAAATGTCTTGTGCTGATTGTAAGCTAGCAACAGCTAATTAGTTCGCTAACCAATAGCACAACATTGAGGTCTGATCAAGCAAGCCAATCATAATCGAACAATGACATTTGCACATTATATACATTTTAGTTCAGGACGGCGAAGGCTGTAGTGAGAGTTGCTAACCAATTAGTGCTAGCTAACGTTACTGTCGCTAGCAAGCATTTCCCCCATCTTCTCCTAGCTAGCAGATAGGCCTACCCATTGAAAAGATCTGTTGAAGGTGTTGTTTAACGTTACTTCCTTAAAAGGCACGAGATAAAACACAATAACGAGATGGCTAGCTGCTACAAGCGATACATTCGCCCCGTAGAAACCGTCCTGTTTCATAAACACAAATGTGTTGTTCTGTCCGCATCTCTAGGTAGTTAGCTAGCTGAACGGCGAAAGCTAACGTTACACGATGACAGGCCACAAGTCAACACTGCAGTCCGCATCCTCTACATATCACACACAACCTGTACGGCGACTGCTTTATGGATGCTTTGGGGATACATTCACTCTATATATGAAATAACATATCTAAATATCTATTACAGCTCATTCAAAGGCTTATTGTGGATGTATATACTACAAAAACATAAAGCTGGGGTTACCTGCACATGATCCGCCATTTTGCTCCATTCATGCTCCTCTCTCACTCCCCCAGACAAAGTGAATGCGCGCAGATTTTCACATTCACTAAGCATTTACGCTCGCGAGTCGCGCAATCGTTGGGAACCCCGTGCAACTTTACAGAATACAAAATTGCGTAAAATAAAATACTGCTCACATAAAGCAAACCCGCTCTTTGTTTACATGGCTCTTAAAGGGAAACTGCTTAATTCTGCTAGTTTCTGTTCTGGAATTAGTTTAATCAAACAGTATATAAAGGGTTATGACTGTGGCACTGCATGCTAAATAGTAGTTAAATACGCGTAGATATGTAGTATTCCAGTGCTATGTGTCTGCTTTGGGGATTGGGGACATAAATGTTGTAAACCTTTGCTTCCTTTAATAATGCTTTGCTTCACAGTCTAGAGCCAACTGAAGTGTTCAGGTCTCAGGTATGGTTACACATCACGCAAGCATGGATTCAAACTACCTTTACACTTCAGCCCATTTTGACCTCATTCTTCTTGCAGATATCCATTCGAGTTACGTGCCCAGTGTGACTGACAGGATTTGAACCTGGCTCTCCAGGTTCCAAAAAAGCACATAAACCAACTAAACCAAAACCTGTGCATTAGCTCAGGGAACCAATGGGGAGCCAACACAAGTTCTCAGGTCTCAGGTAAGGTTACTTAGATCACCTCTGTTACACTATTATATTATCACAGATGGACCAGTAGGCCTAAACAACATCATTCTGAGTGAGGTCATGCCAGTGCTATTCTCAGGAATATGGATTTCCAGGACAGTTCCATGTTTTACCACCAGATGACACCCCCCTCTAACAGTCTATGTTTCAATCCTTTGGTTGAATTTAAAAAAAAGAAAAGTGCCTGCTTTATGACTACAGGATAATAGATGGTAAATGTCATCATGTCTCAATGGGAAGGTATGTGGGTGAGATGAGAGGTATACCCTGGTGTTGTCCAGTCACAGTCTGACCTAACCTGTCTGCAGCAGCAGGAGACTGGCTGGGGAGGGAGAGAGATGGCTGGTCTTATGGATGTTTATTTTTCACCCACATTACTAGCCTCTCTTCTCTCTCTCTCTGTCTCTCTCTGTCTCTCTCGCTCGCTCGCTCTCTCTCTCAATTCAATTCAATTCAATTTAAGGGCTTTATTGGCATGGGAAATGTATGTTAACATTGCCAAAGCAAGTGAAGTAGATAGTAAACAAAAGTGAAATAAACAATAAATATTAACAGTAAACATTACACTCAGAAGTTTCAAAAGAATAAAGACATTTAAAATGTCATATTATGTATATATACAGTGTTGTAACAATGTGCAAATAGTTAAAGTACAAATGGGAAAATAAATAAACATAAATATGGGTTGTATTTACAATGGTGTTTGTTCTTCACTGGTTGCCCTTTTCTTGTGGCAACAGGTCACAAATCTTGCAGCTGTGATGGCACACTGTGGTTTTTCACCCAGTAGATAAGGGAGTTTATCAAAATTGGGTTTGTTTTCGAATTCTTTGTGGATCGCTGTAATCTGAGGGAAATATGTGTCTCTAATATGGTCATACATTTGGCAGGAGGTTAGGAAGTGCAGCTCAGTTTCCACCTCATTTTGTGGGCAGTGTGCACATAGCCTGTCTTCTCTTGAGAGCCATGTCTGCCTTCTCTCTCTCTCTCTCTCTCTCTCTCTCTCTCTCTCTCTCTCTCTCTCTCTCTCTCTCTCTCTCTCTCTCTCTCTCTCTCTCTCTCTCTCGCTCTCTCTCTCTCTCTATATATATATATATATATATATATATATATATATATATATATATATATATATATATATATATATATATACAGTGGGGAGAACAAGTATTTGATACACTGCCGATTTTGCAGGTTTTCCTACTTACAAAGCATGTAGAGGTCTGTAATTTTTATCATAGGTACACTTCAACTGTGAGAGACAGAATCTAAAACAAAAATCCAGAAAATCACATTGTATGATTTTTAAGTAATTAATTTGCATTTTATTGCATGACATAAGTATTTGATACATCAGAAAAGAAGAACTTAATATTTGGTACAGAAACCTTTGTTTGCAATTATAGAGATCATACGTTTCCTGTAGGTCTTGACCAGGTTTGCACACACTGCAGCAGGGATTTTGGCCCACTCCTCCATACAGACCATCTCCAGATCCTTCAGGTTTCGCGGCTGTCGCTGGGCAATACGGACTTTCAGCTCCCTCCAAAGATTTTCTATTGGGTTCAGGTCTGGAGACTGGCTAGGCCACTCCAGGACCTTGAGATGCTTCTTACGGAGCCACTCCTTAGTTGCCCTGGCTGTGTGTTTCGGGTCGTTGTCATGCTGGAAGACCCAGCCACGACCCATCTTCAATGCTCTTACTGAGGGAAGGAGGTTGTTGGCCAAGATCTCGCGATACATGGCCCCATCCATCCTCCCTTCAATACGGTGCAGTCGTCCTGTCCCCTTTGCAGAAAAGCATCCCCAAAGAATGATGTTTCCACCTCCATGCTTCACGGTTGGGATGGTGTTCTTGGGGTTGTACTCATCCTTCTTCTTCCTCCAAACACGGCGAGTGGAGTTTAGACCAAAAAGCTCTATTTTTGTCTCATCATACCACATGACCTTCTCCCATTCCTCCTCTGGATCATCCAGATGGTCATTGGCAAACTTCAGACGGGCCTGAACATGCACTGGCTTGAGCAGGGGGACCTTGCGTGCGCTGCAGGATTTTAATCCATGACGGCGTAGTGTGTTACTAATGGTTTTCTTTGAGACTGTGGTCCCAGCTCTCTTCAGGTCATTGACCAGGTCCTGCCGTGTAGTTCTGGGCTGATCCCTCACCTTCCTCATGATCATTGATGCCCCACGAGGTGAGATCTTGCAATGAGCCCCAGACCAAGGATGATTGACCGTCATCTTGAATTCTTCCATTTCTAATAATTGCGCCAACAGTTGTTGCCTTCTCACCAAGCTGCTTGCCTATTGTCCTGTAGCCCATCCCAACCTTGTGCAGGTCTACAATTTTATCCCTGATGTCCTTACACAGCTCTCTGGTCTTGGCCATTGTGGAGAGGTTGGAGTCTGTTTGATTGAGTGTGTGGACAGGTGTCTTTTATACAGGTAACGAGTTCAAACAGGTGCAGTTAATACAGGTAATGAGTGGAGAACAGGAGGGCTTCTTAAAGAAAAACTAACAGGTTTGTGAGAGCCGGAATTCTTACTGGTTGGTAGGTGATCAAATACTTATGTCATGCAATAAAATGCAAATTAATTACTTAAAAATCATACAATGTGATTTTCTGGATTTTTGTTTTAGATTCCGTCTCTCACAGTTGAAGTGTACCTATGATAAAAATTACAGACCTCTACATGCTTTGTAAGTAGGAAAACCTGCAAAATCGGCAGTGTATCAAATACTTGTTCTCCCCACTGTATATATACACTACCGGTCAAAAGTTTTAGAACACTATATATTTTTTTTATTTTTGTTAGTTTTTTATTTTTGTTTTATTTCTTCTTATTATTATTATTATTATTTTTTTTTCACCTTTATTTAACCAGGTAAACCAGTTGAGAACAAGTTCTCATTTACAACTGCGACCTGGCCAAGACAAAGCAAAGCAGTGCGATAAAAACAACAACACAGAGTTACATATGGTGTAAAACAAAACAAAGTCAAAAATACAACAGAAATACATATATATACAGTGTGTGCAAATGTAGCAAGTTATGGAGGTAAGGCAATAAATAGGCTATAGTGCAAAATAATTACAATTAGTATTAACACTGGAATGATAGATGTGCAAGAGATGATGTGCAAATAGAGATACTGGGGTACAAATGAGCAAAATAAATAACAATATAGGGATGAGGTAGTTGGGCGGGCTAATTTCAGATGGGCTGTGTACAGGTGCAGTGATCGGTAAGGTGCTCTGACAGCTGATGCTTAAAGTTAGTGAGGGAGATAAGTGTCTCCAGCTTCAGAGATTTTTGCATTTCGTTCCAGTCATTGGCAGCAGAGAACTGGAAGGAATTGCGGCCAAAGGAGGTGTTGGCTTTGGGGATGACCAGTGAGATATACCTGCTGGAGCGCAGACTACGGGTGGGTGTTGCTATGGTGACCAATGAGCTAAGATAAGGCGGGGATTTGCCTAGCAGTGATTTATAGATGGCCTGGAGCCAGTGGGTTTGGCGACGAATATGTAGTGAGGACCAGCCAACAAGAGCGTACAGGTCACAGTGGTGGGTATTATATGGGGCTTTGGAGACAAAACGGATGGCACTGTGATAGACTACATCCAATTTGCTGAGTAGAGTGTTGGAGGCTATTTTGTAAATTACATCGCCGAAGTCAAGGATCGGTAGGATAGTCAGTTTTACGAGGGCATGTTTGGCAGCATGAGTGAAGGAGGCTTTGTTGCGAAATAGGAAACCGATTCTAGATTTAACTTTGGATTGGAGATTCTTAATGTGAGTCTGGAAGGAGAGTTTACAGTCTAACCAGACACCTAGATATTTGTAGTTGTCCACATACTCTAGGTCAGACCCGTCAAGAGTAGTGATTCTAGTCGGGTGGGCGGGTGCAAGCAGCGTTCGGTTGAAGAGCATGCATTTAGTTTTACTAGTGTTTAAGAGCAGTTGGAGGCTACTGAAGGAGTGTTGTATGGCATTGAAGCTCGTTTGGAGGTTTGTTAACACAGTGTCCAATGAAGGGCCAGATGTATACAAAATGGTGTCGTCTGCGTAGAGGTGGATCTGAGAGTCACCAGCAGCAAGAGCGACGTCATTGATATACACAGAGAAAAGAGTCGGCCCAAGAATTGAACCCTGTGGCACCCCCATAGAGACTGCCATAGGTCCAGATAACAGGCCCTCCGATTTGACACATTGAACTCTATCTGAGAAGTAGTTGGTGAACCAGGCGAGGCAGTCATTTGAGAAACACCTACTCATTCAAGGGTTTTTCTTTATTTTTACTATTTTCGACATTGTAGAATAATAGTGAAGACATCAAAACTATGAAATAACACATATGGAATCATGTAGTAACCAAAAAAGCTTATA